CCCCCCTATCTCATCGAAAAAAAAGGCCATCTCCAGCCATGGGATATATCCTAAATATAGCCCTAAAATAATGCAAAATCCATCTCCAGCCATGAGCTAAACAAAATTTTGGCCAAATTTGGAGGTCCCCTGTGCTTTCCAACTTATCTCAGATTACCACATGTGTTTGCAAACGTCTCAAAGTACCCCCCAACGTGTAAAAAACCGTCTCACGTTACCCTTTCCGTCAGTTTTTTTGAAGTTCCGTTACGAACGTTACTGTTCATCTCCCCCAAAATTTCAGAACAGTAGCCCCTCCCATTTGTTACTGTTCATCGCTTATTTACCCTCCAAAACTCAGAAATTTCTCCTAACCAACACAACTAGCAGCAAGAACAACTCGAGAGGTTGAAAAATCATACCTGGATCGAAGAAAATGGTGCTCGGAATCGCCTGAACGAGCAATGGAGATTTTGGGTAAAAACCGGCCAATTTCTTGCTTTTTTTCGGCGATCCAGACGACGGTTGGCAGCGGCTGAGATGTGAGGGTGGTAGAGGACAACGTGCTGGTTCTTTTGATATCCATGTCGTCGCTTGGGGTGGCCGGAGGAGGAGATGGCAGCCCAAAAACTGGTCAGATGAACAGTAACAAATGAGAGGAGCTGCTGTTCTGGAATTTTAGGGGGGATGAACAGTAACGTTTGTAACAGAACTTCAAAAAAACTGACGGAAATGGTAACGTGAGACCGTTTTTTGCACATTGGGGGGTACTTTGAGACGTTTGCAAACACAGGTGGTAATCTGAGATAAGTTGGAAAGCACAGGGGGCATGTACATAATTAAGCCTTATTTTTTTTCATATGGATATATTGTTAAGTGGCTTCTAGGTGTGTCTCACAACTCCCACCAAAATATATATTCCCCATATTGGGGCAGGGCAGAGAAGTTGTTCCCCTACGAATGGAGAATCCCCAATTTGTATTACGGGTATGAATGCCAGGATGGGGAAAAAAAGTAAATGAGGATGGGAATGGGAAGGACATACCCATCCCTGATTCCCCCCATTGTCATGTTTTTCAGTCCCTAATTTTCAGGAAGCCAAAATATTTTTCATAACGATTATATTGTTTACATACCCGATGGACAAATTTTAATTTTAATTTTAATTTTTTGGCTTTTGGTTGTAAATTGGGGCAAGTTTGTAACTTTTTTTCAATAAGGTTGAGAAGCAATTTTACATTATTTCATACCAAAAAGTACTAACAAAAAAAGTGGCAATAGTTATCATTATTTGGTGACTAATGTTGGGATGAATAAAGGCTTTAGTCACCAACCCAACATTAGTCACCAAATGTCACCAAATAATGGTGATTGTTATCTTTTTTGGGTAGTGAATGTCTTCCTCAAATTAGCGTAAAAGAAAATTTGATTAGTTAATTGGAGTAGTTATATAGTTTATGTCATAAACTGCTTGTCAACCTTATTAAAGAAATTAATGAAAAGCAATATAATTGTGTGGTTACACAAAATACTACATACACGCATGTCTTCTTTGCTCTCTTTATCTCTCCCTCTTGTAGTCGGTGTCCTGGCAAATGGGTCGTGTTACCTGCTTTTTTATTGGGTTGACATGACACAACCCATTAAAATAACAAATGATTGACCTGTTAAGGGAAAAAAAATTTAGGAAAAAAGCAACCAGAGAAGAGTTGGGGGAGGAGAGAAGGGAATTAGAGGACAGCCGACCAAAGACTTTAGACATTAGTCTGGGCCAACGAACGTGATAGTGATTAATTAGTGCAGCATGTACAGTGTATTTGTCTTCCGAGATTTGCAAGCTTTCTCGCCCTGTCACCCTCTACAGTTTTTGAATCAGTTTATTACTATTTTTTATATTATTAAGTGAATAGGAGAGAGCACTAAAGACTAAACCATGCCGCCCATGGTGGTTGTAGAAGTCAATATATATACGCGTTTGCTGATGATGGCTGCAGTTTTTTTAATCAGCTGGGTAATCTATGCCTTTTGGAAACAAAACGTGGCATGATGAAAGTTACAATGTTTTTGGTCGTATACAAAGGAGTCAAAGCAGCCACAATACCAAGAAAATGGAGAGAACCATCTGATGACTCGCTTGATTGCTTGTCCTCCAAGTTCGACGTAGTTAACAAAAAATCCCACTATAAAAATGAAGTACCGTCTTGGCTTGATCCTCATCAAACAACCAGTTATCTCATCTTTAATCTTTGGCTCTCTACAAATCTCTCTCAGCTAAAAAACTACCTCAGGAATTCCTTTTAGGCATACAAGTTACAACAGAGAGTAAATTTTATCAACACTAATTAATGGCTTTCTTCTCTGCTTTTTCGAATTGTTTCATGCCGTCGTTGTCATCACAACGGGTTTCCGATGATGCTGGTGGGTCTTCTGGAGTGAAAGCGTCAAAGGAATCCAAATGCAAATCAAAGTCTTCATCAGAAGCTCCTTTAGTAGTCTCTTACTTCCCCACTAACTCTTATCTCTCTCGCTTGTGATCATATATATTGGTTGTTTTATATCTCTCTCGCTTGTGATCAAAATCATGATCAGAAGAAGCTCCATGAGTGCACAACGTTGGCAATTATAGCGACCAAGAATCGAAAGCATGTTTGAAAAATATCTGGAGTGGAAACAGGGGAACCACACTTTGGCAATTATGTACATGGTCCCTAGCTAAAAAACCTAGCATGGGTAACAGATGGTAACACATTAATTGGAGGCCAAAGCTCACTTTTGATCCCTGTAATTTGTCTCTTTTTCACTTTTGGTTCTTGTAGCCTCAATTTGGTCACTTTTGCCATTGTAGTTTCATGATTGTAGCAATTTACAATAAAGAAATTCTGTCAATTTTATTCACACTGTCAGGTTTATTTATGTCCAATTATACCATTTCTACTATTTTATTCAAGTTAAAATTCTCCATTTTATGTTAGGGCGCGAAAATGGGAATTTGGGTTTCGAGTTCTTTTTTGTTTTGGGTGATGAAAACATTATGGGCCTCATTTCATTGTGGTGTTTCTTCTTGGGCTCTTTTTAGAATAAAAATATATTGATCCTTTTAAAAATAATTAATTAATTAATTTTTTTGTCATTGGTCGAAAAAATAAAAAAAGGATCCTGATGATGACTATCACATCAAAAAAATTACTATAAATGTTAGGGCTAATGTCAAAATACCCTTTAAAGGTTTGGGGTCATTTGTAATATAGGCCCCCGAGTTTTAATTTCATCAATTTACACCTTCTTATTTTTCAAATATGATAAATTTAAGGGTTAATTACAGTTTAGTACCTCGTGGTGGTTACACCCTTAAAACATGTTAGTCCATATCTTCTTAATTTTACAATTGCATACCCTGATCTTTTAAATTTGTTACAATGTGATTCCATCGTTAAGGTTTCTATCAGATCTCTCCGTTAGTTGCCCACGTGGCATTTATGGGTTTCACAGTTTTGTTTTTTGTTTTTATATTTATAGGTGTAATAAAATATTTATATAATTGTTAAAAATCAATAAATAAAAAAAGGAAAAAAAAACCCACACCACCCATTTTCTTCACCGTCCAATGGAAAAAGAAAGAAACAAATCTTCGTCGTCTTCATCTTCATCACCAACATCACACCACCCATTTTCTCCTCATATCTGAACCCGTTTCTATCATAGAATAATATATATGGAATGAAGGTTCCCCTATGGTAGTTTAAATTAAAGTTCGAACCTGAGCCATTTTCCACTCGGTTAAACCTCGTTGGCACGCCATTTTGCCTTTAAGTAAAACTTGGCAAGAACATTCAACATAATTGTGTGATTAATCCGTACATTGTGTGGTCAAAGCAGCCGCGTACAGTTTGATTGAACTTGACATTTCAATTCCGTGCCTGCAAGTTAAACAATAATTCCACACAAGGACCCATTCCATTATTTTTCTATAAGGACTCAGAAGTTAACAAAATGTATCCAATACGAGGTGAAAATGTCCACCGGCCACCTATTTCTGAAGCCTCCAATTGGTGAACAGAAAAGAGTCTCTGAGGATTCTAAAGCGAGCATCGACCAACAAACGGCAAGCCCAAGAAGGAGAGAGGAAAGGAAAAAAAGAATGGCAGAGGCGGCAATGAGTTCAGAATTGCTAAGAATACAATAAAGGGGAGTAAATCGGACAGGGTAGGAATTTTTGGGTTTGGCAACACCCACATGTGTAAAAAAAGCCATGGCAAAGAAGAACAAGTTGAGTCCAGCGAAGAAACCGACTCGGCGTCCAGCAGCGAAGAAGACGAAGAAGCAGTGAACTGAGGTTATGTGTAGTCTGTTTTTAATTTATGCAATATTAAAAATATTTTATAATTTGGTGAGATTATGTTATTTTATTATATGGACTCTCTTTTCTATTTATTAAAAATAAATAATTAAAAGGCGTTGTTATTGCCATTCCTAATTAGCGATCAAGTACTGATTCCTTCACTGCATGCCATTGTGGTTTTTGCTTGATTAAAACTAATAAAAAGTATCATCAACGTAGACAAGTTTACTGAAAAATTCGAAATAAAAAGTTAACCATTAGACATTAAAATTACATAACATCAAGAAATCAGGAATCACGAGATCCTTAAATTATATTTCACGCCAACATATATATCCACAACATCAGCCTTCTTGGAAATTCACATACAGAAGAAGTTTATGTTAGAATTAGTCAAACTTCCAGCTTTGACGCAGCCAACATTCATTTCTTTTTCATTTATAATTAAATTATAATTTGATGAAACTTGACATTTCAATTCCGTGCCGTGCAAGTTAATCAATAATCAATGTCCCAAATTTTCATCTCACTATAAAACACAAATGAACGACATTCATATATCAACCACCTCCAAAGGAAGTCTACAGAAACAATACTAATACAATTAGCCTTTTGATCGCCTCTTTCCCCGAACGTCCCTTCATTAATCTATCTAGTCTATACACTGCAAGAGATCTCAAGCATGAAAACAAGGGCAGTTTTGTCAGTTGCTATGCCGTCACCGCAGGTGTCTGATGAAGAAGGAGGCTCTGCAACTGCAAACTTGCCTTGTGCGGAGAACACCGAGAAAATCCAGTCAAAATCATCATCATCATCATCATATCATTCTCGCAGAGTGTTTAATTACTACAAGGATATACTAATAAATATCATGAAGGGTATCTGAATGGTATAATTGCAGGGATGAGTAACTCGGGAAATATACCTGTTAAAGTTACAGGGGAATTTCTTAATTAGGTGCGGTACGTTGGGCAATTAATATTTATTTTTTTATTTTTTTTTCAATCATTGTTTAAATTCTTGGTTTTGATTTTGATGTTTATTTTCTGAATGTATAAAGAAAATTAAATATTAATAAGTAGCAGGGGTCTGTCTGCTGAAATTGAATATAGTGAGAGTATTAACAATATGTCAAGCATTTGGGAGAGCTATTTATTTATTTATTAAAATACGATAGAATTTTATTAGATCGATAAAATCAAGAGTACAAAAAACACATACTGTAAATGGAGCAAAGATAGGGTGGAAATTGTTGGAATAATAGGGTATAAATTGCTATAAGATAAACAAAATAAATACTGCACATAAAACAGGTTTTTACAAAAGGAGAATTGAATTAGATGAATCTTATTGAGTCAAGGCAAGTATTGGACACTCTGACCTTAAGACAATTACGCCCCACACTGGTGCTTATGGTTCACTAGCATTCGCATCCCAAGATACAACGACTGCCCTCATTGTGAAAGAAGCACTGCAATTCACAAGGAACTTTGAACCAAATTATGCAGGAACCTCTCTTTATGAAAACTCTAATGTTCTCTATATATGAAAGTCTGTATGTAGAGAATTAAATTGAATTAATAAAATTGCAGGAGGATTGCTCTATTTATAGATTATGAAATACCCTTTCCAAAAAGGTATCCCAATCTGAAAAGGCAAACAATGCATCTCTTGGTCTGAAAAGTTGTCACCCCAAACAATGCATCCCTTGGTTTGAAGAGTTATCACCCCCCCAATTGAAGATGTCTTTAACCCAATGAATTTTATTAATTTCCATTCAAATAGGAAAATTAATATTAGTTAATATTAAATTTCCAACAGAAATGACCAAATAAGAGGAAAGCCAAGATGTGGTGATGAGACGAATTTCAGGAAACCATACATACACCCAAACAATTTCCAAATAATTTCCAATTTTATATTTTACACCTAAAAAGAGCACCGGTGGGAGCCAAAGGGCAACAAATTGAGACCATGGATGTCAACTGGAAATGGTGTCCTTTTCAAAGCCCTAAAAGCCACTTGGCCGCCTCCTGCCTTCAAGAGCCCAATTCCAAATCAAACTCAAACACTAATAAAAACGGCACCGGAAACACAATAAATAAACACAATTTTCAATCACCCTTCCACTCTGAATCGTTCTTTTGTGCCATGGCTCTTGTCTGCAAGCTTCAATCTCTGTCTTCCTCTTTATCTTCGACCCATTTCAGAAAACCCAACTCCTTAAACCCACAACCCATTTGTTCTTTACACTTCAACTCCTCTTCTAATTCTTCACCTTTTACAGAGAAGACTTCTATTGAGAGATACCAGAGAGACCAATGGCTGTACAAGAACCAATTGGATCAAGCCACTCTATGCTCTGTCCCACCAGATTTGGATTCTATAAGGCAAAATGACATTGCTTTGCAGCTACCGGAGCTGAGAAAGCTGCTTCAGGTGCTGAGAGAGAAGAGAGAGAGCGAAGGAGGGTATGGCAGCGGCAAGTGTGGGCCTGGAAATGTGTTCTTGGTCGGGACAGGGCCTGGGGACCCTGAGCTCCTGACATTGAAGGCTTATAGAGTTATTCAGAATGCTGATCTATTGTTGTATGATAGGTTGGTGTCCAATGATGTGTTGGAATTGGTTGGCTCTGGTGCTAGACTTCTCTATGTGGGCAAGACTGCTGGGTACCATAGCAGAACCCAGGTAAAGCACTAATCTTTATCAGCATTTCTTGTATTAGCTGAAACAAACTTTCAAATTTTATTTTGATTTTCAATTGAGTTTCTGATATGGGTTCTCTCTTACTATAAAATTGAAATATTTAGGCAATTTGGTGAATTGGGTATTTGGGTCTGTGTTAATTTGTATTTGGGTTAGTGAAGTGAATTGGGGCTATACTTTGGGGTCTTGGGAAAGAGCTGAATCGTTTTTTCTCCCTATCAGGAGGAGATACATGAATTGCTACTGAGTTTTGCTGAAGCTGGAGCTAATGTTGTGAGACTAAAAGGAGGGGATCCACTGGTGAGTTCCTACATTGAAGTTTGACAATTTGTTACTTGTGGTATTGTGGTGTCTTGTCAAATTTGTGGTGAAACGTATTTTTTTTCTTTAGGTGTTTGGTAGGGGTGGGGAGGAGATGGATTTTCTGCGACAGCAAGGAATTGAAGTGAATGTTATTCCAGGTACAATGATAGATTAGTCTGGTAAACACTCTTATTTAGTGGAGACTTTTTATGATAATATATGAATGCCTCAAGAACATCTTGAGTGGACCCGGGAACATGTTGTATATGAATCATGATCAATATATTTTTTAATCTTTCAGGTATTACTGCTGCTTCAGGGATAGCAGCAAAGTTAGGGATTCCATTAACTCATCGTGGTGTCGCAAATAGTGTCAGATTTCTTACTGGGCACTCCAGGAAGGGAGGAACAGACCCTCTATTTGTTGCAGAGAATGCAGCTGACCCTGATTCAACCTTGGTGGTTTATATGGGTTTGTCGACCCTCCCCTCTCTTGCTCAAAAGTTGATGCATCATGGTTTGCCACCAAATACACCAGCTGTTGCAGTTGAGCGAGGGACCACACCTCAACAGCGCACGGTAAGGATGATCTTCTATTTCAGCATTGTTCTTGCTACTGTGTGTATACCATGTTGCATTCTAGATGTGTTGTGTTTGTTTACCTAAATACCCTGAAATCTGTGCCATTTTTAGGACGTTTCTTGTTAATTGTTAAACTGCAACCTGGGAGAGCTCTGTTAAATGTCTCTATTACCAAATATGTAGATATAACTACAGAAAAAAGGACAATAAGTATGCCAATCAAAATTTTGAGAAGCTTATCGAGCATCATTACCTAAACCAATTGACTACCATTTTAGGACGTTTCTTTTATATTGATTCAGACATCCTTTCTTCAACTGTGTAAAGGAAGCTTTTCAAATACTGTTTGCTACTGGTTCTTCCGTTTCGACATTTTTTAGACATTCTTGAGATACAGTAAACGTGGAATGTGTTAATTTTATTAATTTTTAATTTTAATTTTTTACAATGAGAAACATAAGTATTAAAACTTAAAAAAAGTATCATCAATGTAGACAAGTTCACTGAAAAACCGAAACAAAAGGCTAACCATCAGACATTGAAATTGCATAACATTATAGGGACCTGAAACAATGAAACCTAACAAAGGCATTCTGATGTAGTTTTCAGAGGACATTTGATTACAGTTAGTTTTGGTTCTTGTTTGTATTTATTCTGAAAATTGCAATGAAAGTACTAATGAAGCTGTTCAATGGCAATTAAAGTGATAGATTTCCAATATTCTGAAAAATCAGAAGCCATTGTGGTACTTTTTAAATTTATATTAATGATTCCTATCAAAATTTGTGTTTATAGCATATAGTTTCGCCCTTGTTGAAGAAATTTAACTTGAAATAGATATTAATAAATACTTATATACTAATAATGGCTTGAATCTGAAGTACTGTTATTTGCATATTTGAATTAAGGATAAACTACCTGATTGAGGAAGTAATTATATGTCAAGATCCTTCAAGGGCTGTCAGTGATACTATTACAAATCTTAATGGTCTCTATTATTTACCCTTGGCTGAGTGTCATCAACCTGATTGGCCATGGAATATTGATCCTTTCGATTCCTTTACAGATAGGCATTCACATAGAATCGGCTTCCCATTTCCAGTTTTCATGTATTTCATGGCATTCTAATTATTGTTGCATATGCATTTCATACAGGTTTTTGCAGAACTGAAGGATCTTGCTGATGAAATTATATCAGCAGAATTAGTATCACCAACGTTGATCATCATTGGAAAAGTAGTTGCACTTTCACCATCGTGGCCATATTCTTCAAAGGAAGTGTCCTGTCTTGTAGAAGCGATATAGAAGCATTTAAGACATGCAGACAAGTATTTTGCCCATCCAATTTGGCTTCAGATCTCCGGCGCACTGCTCATGAATCTTGTTGTCAGACCTTTCAGCTCATGATCCAATCAATTTCAATGGTGGGGGATGATCTTGGTTAAGAGGTAAATTAGCTGCTGCTAGTGATAGAGGCACATCTTCTTTCGAGATTTATCAGAATTGATCAATTTTAGAATGAGCTAATTGTTTATGAGCAGAGCTGGATTGTGCTATAGAGTGTAGGCCGATGCTTCATTCTACCATTCAAATATCTTATGGGGAATGGATTTCATGCACTGGAATGAGTGAGAGAGCTGCGTTATTGCACATTTATTATGAGGTTGCAATGCAACAAATCGGAGTACGGTTAGAACGTCAGAGGGCTATCAGGTGGAAAATTTTGTAACATGAGCTTGATTAATTATTTCACATTGTTGAAAGTTTTTGGTAGTTCTTTCAATGATTTCATTTTGCAAATAAACGAGGTTGAAGTAGGTATACATATAAATAAATGAAATGCTACTGTGGGGAGTAAATAATCCGGCGTCCAATTATAAGGAGCCACATGGACAAGAAGAATATCTTATATGTCAATTAATTGAGTTTATTTATTTGACAAATTAATTGATATTAAAATAGAGATATTATTTTAAATATGTGATATTATCTTTATTTTAAAAAAGATAATATCATCAATTAAGATATTATCCTAATTTGGATATTGATTCAATCTTTACAATTTGGGGAAAGAATATCCTCCTAAGTAAGATATTCTTTGAAAAACCCTAGATGCCTAGAGTCTTATAAATACATGGCTACATTCAACACACAAAGTAATTCTAAACCTAGCAAAAACACTTGAAAGTCCTCTCTCCCTCTCTCCTAGCCAATGGCCGTCCTCGCTGCCAGGTCCTCCACTTTTGTCTCTCCACATAGCTCTGGCCACCACACATGGCTCCGGCCACTCAGTTCTCCCCATAGAGAAATCTTCGTTCTCTTTTTTAGCTATTGTTTTTCTTAGATTCAATCGAACTAACTTAGGCATTGAAGGGCCTTTAGTCAACACCCCCCGGGTGTGGTCTATTTACTTTGGTCTTTTTTTTACATGAATCAAGGAAGAGAGAGAAGGAAGATCAGAGGTTGAAGAATCTACAAGCGGATATGCTCACGGGAGAATATTTGCACAAACATTTGGTGTTTTAATTTTAGCACGAGTTATACTAAATGTGTTCTTTTGAATCAAAGGAATTCGTTTCCTCCTTTTTTCGCTCAGCCAAAGCCTTCCAAACAACCATGGTTGGAAGCAAATGCACGAGAAGCAAAACCGCCACGATGAAGCAATCCGTGACGGATCCAAGCCACCAAGATGGCGCAGCGTCGAGCCATCCTTTGTGCTTCACCGCCATCGTCTCATACCGAGCCACCACTGTGGACGCTCCACCTTTTGGCCTCGCCGCCGAGTCACAGCTCACGGCATCGTGCCCTTTCGAGGCAAGCACCACCTTACTACCGCTTGACCATGTGGCAGAAACACCCGTGCTGCCTCAAGGTCCCGTGACCCGAACAACTGAGTTGTCACATGATCTAGCACCTGCCACCGTGCCGCGCCACAGCTATAGCAACCACCACCTTCACAGCACCACAGGCAAATCCTCTTTGTAGCTCCACAGTCTAGCGCACGGAACAACCTTATTCCTGCAAGCTTTCTCCATCGGGTCCGACGCTTTCCACCATGACGAAGCTGTGACACACGACACCACTGCACTCCATCCTAATACCACCGTACTTAGCCATATAGCCGCCACTACCTACGACTCGACCGTGGAGCAAGTGCAACCATTTCCTCCTTGGCCTCCGTGCTCGATGTACACTCATGTGTACACCTCCAACGAAACCCTAGCCCGTGTGCATTTGGGCTCCGAGCAAATCTCTCCTCCGAGTCCACGAAGTCAAGTAGACCTCATTCTTAGAGTTGACCAGCTAACCCAGAGAATGGATGACCAAAATGACTTGGTGAGACAGCTCTTCAACCAAATAGACTTGGTCCAAAACCTTGGCCTTGGACCTCAAAGAGAGTAGGATGGACGAATGCACCGACAAGTAGTTTGAGAAGTCCCAATTAGGTTGAGCAAAAGCAAGCAGACAAGGAGAAGGACAAAAGTGCGATCGGCATGCTGGCAAGGAGAAGGACAAAAGTGTGATCGGCATGCTGGCATGTCACAAGCATCTGCGAGCCACGCTCAAAGCAAATGAAGTCTCTAATCTAGGGTGAGTTCAAGGATCAACGTGCGAGAAAGACTAGGCCCGTGACTCGACATTCGCGCCCTCCTAGGCCCACAAGGAAATGTACATGAGAGGCTAGACGCTCAGGGAGGTCAATCTAACGACCCTCACAATGAGGTTCGTGAAGAAAGGCGCTCCGCAGCCTACTCCTAAAAAACTAATTCCTGTCGACAAGTCACAGGGAATCCTTCGCAAGAGCATGTGGACCAAGCAAACTCCTCACCATTCACCACCGAAATCGAGCAGGTTGCTCCCCCAAAGCGATTCTTAACGCCTTCTTTCACACACTTCAAATGGGATTCCGATCCCGAGAACCATATGAAGCACTTCATGAGTGTTATGATTCTCTTAAAAAGTGGCTCTAGTCTACGTTCAGATGAATGAACCGCTAGGGGCTCGTATAAGAGTTGGTTGGAGGTCATTCCGTGTGGTCATTCAACTGACTCAGGTGGACCTCCAAGCCTATTTCCATGGCTTCCATGGGGTCGTTCGACCCAAGTGACCCCACTGTGAGTCTGTCATTGGATGTGGCACATGAAATGGCAATTCATATCATATGCAATATAAAATGGTAACAAAAAATTAGTGACCATATTATTGTAGACCATTGACATGAGCTATCCTAATTACTTAAGGAGATTTATTTCCTTGATTAATTAGGTGATTTACTTTCTTATTTTGTATAGTTGACATATCCTTGTATAATTAGAAGATATTCTTTTAATTGATTACTGTATCTATTTCCTTATAAAGCATTCTTGTAAACTCCTATATATACCTCCTTATGGAGAAGAATACAATTAACCTAAAGTATTCAAACCATATTCATATTTTAGCATGGTATCATAGCAATGGATCCTAGGTTGTCCCTAAACCCTCAAATCTTACCTCTTAAATCAAATCCTCTTATCAAACTCCTTAAACACATACCTCTCAAATCAAATTCCTAAATCAAATTCATACATCAAAATCCTCAAAATCCTCAAATTCCTCAAATTCTCAAATAAACTCCTTAACCACAAACACACACTCATATCTAATCTTACTTCCGATGTGATGTCAGAACCCTTATGATTCTCTCCCTTCTTGCAGACTCACAGAAGGCGTCCAATCATGCTAAACTAGCTACCCAGGCTCGTGCTTTTATCTCCACCACCAAAGGTTCTACTTTTTATACGTCCTCTCAAAAGCCTGCATGGATTATTGACTCTGGTGCTACAGATCACATCACAATCGATCCTGGCCAACTTATTCTTCGTCAACCATCCACTTAGTCGGTGGTGTCTAATGCTAATGGTACCCCCTCCCATGTGGTTGGGGATGACACTCTATCTCTCTAACTCTATACATCTGGATTCTGTATTGATTGTCCCATCATTGAACCATAACTTGTTGTCTATTACAAAACTTACTACTATTTTGGGGTGTACTGTAACATTTTGGACGAATCATTGTGTTTTTGAGGACATCTTCACGGGCAAGACAATTGGTTGTGGTACTAGGCAGGGCACACTCTACTATTTGGACTAGGCACCAAATAGTGAGACCAAAGTTGGTCAAGCTTTCACAACAAGTGGAACTCATTTTTAGGGGGAGAGAGACAAAGTTTGGTATGGCATAAACGTCTTGGTCATGCCTTGTTCGGTTATCTGAAGAAGTTGTTTCCATCATTATTTTCCAGTTTTGATGTTTCCAGCTTCCAGTGTGATATGTGTGAAATGGCTAAAAGCCATTGTGTCTCATTCCCATTAAGTTCAAATAAGAGTTTTGTTATGTTTTCTCTTGATCATTATGATGTTTGGGGACCTACTAAAATTCATGCAGAAACTCAATGTGTAACAACCCAAGTCCTAAATAATTATTAATTATTAATTTATTCAGATAAAAGACCATTTTTCCCATAGAATATTTTATTAGGTTTAAAGTTGACTTTTTGACGGTACAGTGGAATTTGGGAATTTCGACTGTACCGTTGCATAGAGCACGACGAGATGAGTCCGTAGACACATAGTGGGCTCGAATCGGAGTTATAACGAAGAAGTTACAATCAAAACAAGTTCAATGACATAATTGTAATTATTTCAAAGTTGGGTTTAATAAATCTGATTGCTCTCTCTCTCTCTCTCTCTCTCCTCTCTCTCTCTCTCTCTCTCTCTCTCTCCTCTCTCTCTCTCTCTCCCTCGCTGGTTCGCACGACACCCCCTCCCCCGGTATTATTCACCGACGACCATTTTTGGTCACCGCCGCCGCCATGGAGCACCACCGGCCACTAGATCGATCGGGTTCGAACTGCCGCCACCCTAGTAGCCCTTCCTGACCATCTTTGACGTCAGCCATAGTCGGAATTTACAAGAAAAAGCCGTGAAAAGTCGTCGATTTTTAACAATAACTTAAAGTTAGCGTTTTATGATAACCGTCCGATTGTGTGATCATGAGCGATCCGACCGTCCGATCCGGACCAAAATTGTAGGACGTGTATCTTGAACCTTGTGGAACTCATAGGAATTTCCGGATTGTAAAACAGAGGTGGTGGGCCCCGTGGGCCCGTTTGACCTAGTGTGGGTAGTTTGACCCTTGGTTGACCGTGAGTCTTCCAAGGTAGTTTCACCTTTCTAGGAGGATTAAAATGACCTTATTGACAAGTCTTGACCGTTATTTGAGTTATGTTAATTACGGTGGGTATGCGTAAATTAGTTTGAGTTCATTAAATGCATGGTTTATTTTCATTATTTGACTTAAGAGTTTGGTACGTGGTTTTGCTTCGGATTATTTGAAGGCCGAAGGCCGATTATGTGAATTGCATGAAACTACCTTGTGCATACTGCTGGTTGGTGATATTAAATATGTTTTAACAGGTTGAGAAGTTTTGAGAAATGTTCATTTTTCAAGGGAGACTCTGCCGAAATTTCGGTTGAAAGTCTCGTACCCTTCTTTTTTATTTTTGGAAAAGAGGTTATAGTAATTGAAGTGAGCCCGGCATCGAGGTGATGTTGGAGTTTCCACAAGATTCGTTCCGGGTTCCGAGGAATTCGAGGTGGGTCCTGTCACGATGATTTGTCACATTTATTGATGATTACACACGCATGACTTGGGTTTCCCTTGTCAAAACTAAAGGGGATTTAAAGTTTCAACAATTCCGTAAAATGGCGGAAACATAGTTTCAGGTTCGAATCCAAGTTCTCCATTCTGACAATGACGGAGAATTTCTCAACCAGGATCTTAACAAGTTCTTACATGATCATAGCATCATACATCAATGCTCGTGTCTATATACTCCCAACAAAATGGTGTTGCTGAACGAAAGAACATACATTTATTAGAAGTCGTTCATGCATCTTTATTTGGTCCCAACATGCCTCGATCTTTTTAGGGTGATGCCGTCTTCTTTGCAGCTTACCTTATAAATAAGATTCCCTCAAGTATCTTGAATTTCCAAACTCCTCTTCAAACACTTCACCACCATCTCCAAATATCTTCCACCCAACCTTCAACCACAGATTTTCGACTGTGTTGTATTCGTACACTTACATGATCACCAACGAAGCAAATTGGATCCCTGGGAAGAAAAGTGTGTTTTCGTTGGCTATGCTCATCATCAGAAAGGCTATCGATGTTATCACTCTTCAAGTCAGAAGGTATATACCTCCGTGGATGTCATGTTCCAAGAACATGATATATATTTTTCAGCAGCACATACGGAGAATTTAGAATCAAACCCTTCGAAGATTCTAGAATTTTTTTCTGCCTCAAAGTGACCAGTCGACCCCTTAAAACAATCGGTCGCACACCTTTATTCCTTCACGGGAGGAGCCTCTGCTTCAAAACGGTCGGTCGACTCCTCCAAGCAATCGGTCTCCCCTAGTCTTCCTTCACAAACAGAGCCACTGTGTCAAAACGACCGGTTGTTTTGTCCCACCAACTAGTCGATTCCACAGTGCCAAAATCAAGAGGAGGAAACTGAACTGTGTTATGAGATTTTGCCCTCGCACTTGCCTACAACTCTAGTACCACACTAATCCCCTGCTAAGGAAGTCATTCAGGTACGATTTTCTCCTGAATCTGATAACACTAATTAAATATACTATGATGATTTGATTTTAAAAGGCACAAAGCTAACATATTAGCTTCCAAAAGGGAAGAACCGTGGTAACCTCGAGTACATTACGAAGCAGATCTTAAAGCCAAAGGGAAATACCTAATCAGTAATTATATATCTCTAAGGAGATTGTCCGAATCACATGTACACTTTGTGAAGCAGTTGGCCGATATATCTGTCCCCCAGTAAAGAAGCTATGAATGAAGAAATGCGAGCGCTTCAGAAGAATGCCACGTGGGAGCTCGTGCCTTTACCTCACGGAAAGAAGACGATAGGATGTGGGTGGAGCTATACTGTGAAACTCAATGCAGATGGATTTATTGAAAAATACAAAGCTAGTCTGGTGGCGAAGCAGTACACACAAAGATATGGGGTAGACTTCCAAGAGACTTTTGCCTCAGTAGTCAAGATCAACACTATCAGAGTCCTACTATCTCTAGTAGTAAATCTAGATTAGCCACTACATTAGTTCGATGTTAAAAATGCCTTCTTACATGGAGACTTGGAGGAAGATGTCTAGTCTAATGGATTTACCACTAGGATGTAATGTAGCTCATGACAAGAAAAATCAGGTTTTGCAAGCTTAGAAAATTATTATATGGGTTAAAACAATCTCCCATGTCATGGTTCGGCAGATTTACTAAGTCCATGAAATTTTTTGGATGCACTTAAAGTAATTCAGACCACACCATGTTCTTAAAGCACGATGACAGAAAAATCACTACATTAATTGTGTATATGAATGACATGGTTGTAATTGGGAACGACACAGGAGAATAACAGAAACTACAAAAGTATTTGCCTTGGGAATTTGAGATGAAGGATTTAGGTACTCTAAAATACTTCCTCGGAATTGAAGTAGCAAGGTTAAAGATTGATATATTTTTATCTCAAAGGAAGTATGAGATGGATTACTCACTGAAACAGGAATGCTTGGATGTAAGCCTACTGACACACTCATTGAGATGAATCAAAAGCTGTGTGAAGATATGGACTGGGTGCCTACCAATAAGGAACAATACCAATACCTTGTTGGAAGGTAGATATATTTGGCACACACAAGACTAGATATTGCATATGCTGTGAGTGTGGGTTAGTCAGTTTATGCATTCTTCCAATGTTTCTCATAGGAATGCAGTTGATCGAATCTTAAGATATTTAAAGGCAGCCCCTGGAAATGGACTAATGTTCTCCAAGAATGGAAATCTTGGAGTTGTTGGATATACAGATGCTGACTCGGCTGGTTCCATTACAAGTAGATGCTCTACATCAGGTTACTTTATATTCGTTGGAGGTAACCTTGTCACTTGGAGGAGTAACCGGTCTAATGCAGAAGCAGAGTATAGATGAATAGCTCAAGGAGTGTGTGAATTATTATGGATCAGAAGACTCTTGACAGAATTGGATTTTAAACCAAAGAAGCCAATGGAGTTACATTGTGATAACAAGTCAGCTATCGATATTGCTCATAATATAGTTCAACATGATCGAACTAAACATGTGGTGGACAGATATTTCATCAAAGGAAAAATTGAGAACAAGATCATCCGTCTACCTTTTGTAAAATCCGAAGATCAATTAGCGAATGTCTTAACAAAAGCAGTCTGTGGACAAGTGTTTTATGACTCACTTACCAAGTTGGTCATTGGTGACGTGTATGCACCTACTTGAGGAGGAGTGTTGACATGAGCTATCCTAATTAGTCAATGAAATTTATTTTCTTAATTAATTAGGTGATTTACTTCCTTATTTTATATAGTTGACATATCCTAATTGATTACTGTATCTATTTCCTTGTAAAGCATTCTTGTAAACTCCTATATATACCTCCTTATGTAGAAGAATACAATTAACCTAAAATATTCAAACCATATTCATATTTTAGCATAAACTAATTATTTCCTTGGTAGAGAATGACTCTACAAACCTCTTATATACCATGGACATAGCCTGAAATTTGAACTAAGTTAGGCTAACTACATAAACCGTTCCCAACAAACTTTACCCACATCACTTTTTAAATCAAGTATGCATGAGCTATCTAAGATGACTTAATTATCACATCTCAGCTGGAATTCTGCCAACAATACGTTTGATTTTCGTGCAGGCCCTATGGATATGGCCCAGATTTTGGGTTTAGACCCCATGGACGTCCTGTGGATGCAGTGGGTGACTATCACAGGAGAAAGAACCAGAAGAAATTGGCCAAGCCATTCACCATCTCTCTGGCCACAATCAACTAGAACTTTTCATTCTCTAACTACTTGTGGAAGTTCAGTGTTGAGAAGGATAAGGATCAACAACACATGCTATTCCTCAAATACAAGCACCTGGCAGAAGCATTGCACAATCATACTGTCAAGCTTGGGCCTACAGTTCTGGCCTATTTATTCAAGAATTTGCATACTACCACCTTGGAGAATCCTCTGAATCTGTTTGCTCCAGGCGCATTCTGGATGATCCAGATTTGGCTGCACGTGTATTTCCCAGAACTGAGGTTTTCGGATATAGTTCTGCCTGAAGAGCAAGTTCTGGCTCTCCCTCTGATGTCGACAGAAGTGCCCAAGCGTTTAATTGAAGAGTACCTAATGTTCTTCAGGCACTGTGGTAAAAGGTTTGCAGCTCAGTGGCAGGTAGTGATCAGAAGAACATATCCCTGGTTTCAACCTGGATACCGGCTGTTTGAGATGGAGCCAGAAGAAGAAACTGCCCAAACAGGTTTCAGGAAGAAATTCCTGAGTGTAACCCTGCCAAGAGATCTGCCCCATGAAGGGGCCTGGATGATCTGGAAGTGCACAAAGATGCTAGATGTGCTGTGAATAAGATAAACAATAGTGCATACGCTCTTTATCCATCTTGGGAGCCCAATTCCTCTAGCACTGCACTCAAAGTTCTTTTTTATGGCTGGGATTCCTGGGTTGTTCATGCAGGAGAGGAGACTTACAGATTTATGGTGCAGACCATTAAAGATATTAACGCACAAATCATAGAAGGTAAATTCCTGATTCTGTCTGTATTTTATTCATTCTGTCCCCGTGATGATATCTAACATTTGTTCTATCTGCAACAGATCCTTCCTTGACAAAGAGCATAGGTGGACAATCTATCCAGGCTGGAAAGGTGATTGGTAAGCTTCCCATCATTCTGTCCCTCATAGATTGACTTCTGGCTGTTTGTTTCCTGTGCATTTACTTCTGTCATTGCTGTTGGAGACCTGGAGCTTCCCTCTAGAGATGAAGAGGATGAAATTCTGGCAGAACAACCACCTGTTGAGGTCACTCCTTCTGCCAGAAGGAAAAGAAAAGAAACTGCTCCTGCTCAGGACAGTGCTACTCAGCCTGAAGCTTCTGGTAAGATTCTGACATTTTGAACTATTTTCTTGAATCTGTTCTATTCTGCTCATTCTTCTAACCTCTATCTTTGTTCTGTGCAGCTGAAAGTCCTCCTCCTCCTACTACTAGATCAAGAATACTTAGAAAAAGGACTGGAGTTGAATCTGATGAGATAGAAGAGCTTGCAACTGTTCCTACTGAGACTTCCGAAACTGATGATGAGCTGCGAAAGGCTTTCGAAGCTATCGAGCAGGAGAAAGAAAAAGAAAGAGAAGAAGAAGTTACAAAAGGGAAAGAAAAGAAAAAAGAGCTTGAAGAAGAGGTGAGACTTCATTCTGGCCATATGATTATTTTGCATCTGTTCTTCTCCAAACCTCTGACTTCTGTTCATTTGTAGGAGGAGATTCCTGCTGAGGTGATAGCAGAAAGCATTGCTTTGGCCAAACATAAGGAAGAAGCTTAGAGGGCAGAACCCACAAGTTCAAAATTGGCCCTTTTTAGTGATGTGGAGGCAGAACATTCTGCTGCTGCCCCAGAGTTGAAGTGGAAACAGAATACTCTGCTGCTGTTGTTCCTGTCCCTGAGGTATTTCAGTCTTTTCTGTCTTGTCTTCTTAGTTCTGTCTATCTTGACATTCTCTAATTTGTTACTTTGTCTTTTCAGGTAGCAGAGAACAAGACTGCTGGGGTCCTAGCTATGGTGACCAATCCTCTCAAGCCTCCCATTGTGGCTGTGAGTATTTTTGTGCCTTAGTCTTTCTTTCTTTCCCTATTCTGACTTTATCTGAAACTGACTTGAGTTTATTTTGCAGATGCCCATCCATTCTCTCCCAGGTTCACCCACCACGGCCTCCTTTGCTGATCCAGAATTGGCAGAGTTTGAAGCTATGGACCTGGTTGCCCAGCTGGACAAACTGGAGAAGCTTAGCTCCACTCCTAGCAAGGCAAAATCCAAGGCAGTGGATAGAGTGAAGATATGGCAATCCACTGACTGGATTTGGATGAAAACCAAGAAGCCGTTGACCAACTAATAAAGGACCTGGACCTGCTACATAGGGAAAACATGGCTCCTAGACCCATCCTCGAAATCAGCCTAGGCTTGGCAAGAGATGTGCTTAATCTCCACAATCGCTATGAAGATCTCAAGCCTTCCTTCAAAGCTTCTGAATTTTGCAAGGCTACTCATGAAGCCAACCTGATTGACTACCAAAAACAGAAGGCAGAATTGGATATGATGGTTGTTGATTACAAGGAAACCAAGACTGCTGCTGATAAATTGGAAAAACATATTGAAGAACTTCAGAAGCAGCTAGCTAGCTTGAGGGGCAAGCAAAACAGACTTGGGGCTGGACTGGGCAGTAAGACTAAGACGACCTTCCTCATGCAGAATATGGTGTCAGCTTCTAGGCCTGCCCTGGAGATTGAAGAAGCCTCCATTCATCAGGGAATGCTTCTCCAAAAACAGATCTCCACCAAGAAGACTGGATTACAAGAGACTCTAAAGAAACTAGGATTTTGACTTAATTTTTGAAAATGTAATGAACTTTAGTCATGAAAAATGACTATATTTTAATAGAAGTTATTTATTTGTGGAACTTTCTGCATTTTCAATTTCTTTTGAAAAAATAAAATAAAGCAAAAAAATAAAAGAAAATAAACTTAACAAATTACAAAAACAAATTCTGAACAGAAGTTTAAACAACAGTTTCATTTTGTTCCCTCTCTATTCCAGGATATGTTTGTACAACCTGTGAATCCCACATAGTTGGATAGAATTTCTTTAACCATTTGCCATTGATTGGTGCAGCATGAACATCTCCATCTCAATCCTGTAGTCTATATGCCCCTAATCGAAGGATTTGCTTAATTATGAAAGGACCTTCCCATGTAGGTGACGACTTTCCATAACTAGCTATATGTGTTCCAAGGGGCAGAACTACTTTCTAGACTATCTCTCCTTCAAAACTCTTGTTTTTAACTCTTTTGTTGTAGGCCCTTGACACAGCCTGTTTTCCTGCTAAGAGTTTGTTGAGGGTATCAATTCTGCTTGCATCCAATCCCTCCAGTTCTAGTAGAATGACTCGAGAGTAGTCTTCTCCAGTCAGATTGTGTTGATGAGCAATTCTGAGAGATTGGACTACTATCTCCATAGGCAGAATTGCATCATGACCATAAGTTAGAGCATATGGGGTCAAGCCAGTTGCCTTTCTCTTTGAAGTCCTATATGCCCACAGAGTTTCTGATAACTTCTCATGCCATTGCTTTGGATTTTTCTCAAGCATTTTTCTGATAATGTTGATGATCACCTTGTTACTTGATTCTGCCTGTCCATTAGATTGAGCATAGTACAGAGTGGATTGAAGCAGCTTAAATTTGAATGCTTCTGCCATATCTAGCATCTCTCCATATATGAAAAGGATCCCCTGTCTGTTGTGATTGATTTTGGAATGCCAAACCTTTGGATAATCTGTTCCTCTATGAAGGTGATGATCTCTTGAGATGTAGTGGATTTAACGGGCTTGGCTTCCACCCATTTGGTGAAATAGTCTGTAGCCACAATAATGAAACAGTGTTGTTGGCTTCCTCCCATGACCTTCATGTATTCTTTCTTTCCCAGGCACCTCAGAAGTACCTCATCTTTGCTTTTTCGGACCAAATCTCCATTCCACATAAGGTACTTTAAAGCCATGATTCTGACTATTTTCTCAAAAGGCAGGGTTGGATACTGTAAGTAATTTATTATGGGAATTCTCCAGTCATCTTCAGTGATTATGGCGGAATTGACATCTATCTCCATTTCTCTAGTCAAAACAGATGGTAGACTTTTCTTTCATACCCTGATGATCCTTTGGACACAGTCTTCAGGCATTTGTACCCCTGTTGCTATCTGAGCCAGTTCTGTCAGAAGATTCCTAGCTGCCACTAGATAGACAGCTAGATAAGGATTTAGACATTTGTATTCTCCTGCAATTTGTTTTGACACTAGCATAGAGTCACCTAAAATTTCCACAGATTGGATTCCCAATTCCACCAGCATTTCGAGGCCAATGATTAAAGCTTCATATTCAGCCCTGTTATTGGTGCATTGGAAATCTAACTGGAAAGAATAATAGTGTTTGATCCCCAGTGGTTCCTCCAAAACAATCATTGCCCCAGAAGCTACATCATTTTTTGATCTATCAAAGTACAGCTTCCAAGGTGTGAGGTGAACAAAATAGATGGGATTGTTAAGGCAGGTATGAGCTCTGGTCAACACATCTGCTATATCCAAAGAATCCATATTTTCAATCTCTTCCCCTGGATGATCTGCTAGGAAATCTGCTACAGCTTGTCCTTTGACAACTTTCTCAGGAACATATCTGAAAGCAATTTCTGTCAAAGCCAGAGTCCATTTGCAAATTCTGCCTCTCAACATTGGCCTTGTTAGCATGTATTTGATCATATTTATCTTGGCAATGATGTAGATGGTGAATGGCAATATATAGTGTCTGAGTTTCACAACATTGAAGTATAAGGCTAGACAAAGTCTTTGAATTGCATAATATTTCTTTTCTACTTCTGGCCGAGTTCTGCTCAGATAGTAGACTGTCTGTTCCTTCCCTTCCTTATTATCTTGAACTAACAGACTCCCAATGGACATTTTTGATGCAGAAACTAAAGTTTAAGCGGTCTGCCTCTCTTTGGTGGGGACAGAACTGGTGGATTTGAAAGGTACTTGATTTCCTCAAAAGCCTGTTGGTGTTGTTCCTCCCACTTAAACGTTTGTTCCTTCTTCAACCTTAGCAAGGAGGAGAAGGGCTGGATTTGTCCTTCAGAATTGGATATGAATCTCCTTAAAAAGTTTATTTTCCCTATGAGACTCTGCAGCTCTTTCTTGTTCTAAGGTGGTAGAGCTTCTATGATGGATTTTGCTTTATTTTTGTCAATCTCTATGCGCCTTTGGCGGACCAAGAAACCTAATAAATTTCCTGCTTGATTTGACACATGATCTCCTTCTTCTAGGGATTTAATCACCACATCATCTGTATACACCTCTAGAGAATGTCCTATCATATCATGAAAAATAGAATTCATTGCTCTTTGATAAGTGGCTCATGCATTTCTTAAGCCAAAAGGCATTACAGTGTATTCAAAAGCACCTATATGTCCTAGGCACATGAAACCTGTTTTATGGATGTCTTCTTTTGCTACCATAATCTGATTATATCCTGCATTGCCATCCATAAAAGATATCATTTGGTTATGAGCAGCTCCATCTACTAGCATATCTGCCATTGACATAGGATATTCATCCTTGGGAGATGCTTCATTCAGATTCCTGTAATCCACACATATCCTAATTGCCCCTATTTCTCTATTCAGAACTGGCACAATATTGGCTAGCCAATCAGCATAAATGGCTAGTCTGATGAATCCTGCCTTGACCAACCTTTCTATTTCTTCTTTGACTTTCAGTTCTGTTTCCATAGACATCCTTCTTCTGGCCTGTTTGACTGGAAGATAGCCTTCCTTGATTGGCAACTTATGTTCCACCAGTTTTCTATCCAACCCAGGCATCTCATGATAATGCCAAGCAAAACAGTCTCTAAAATCATGCAACAGTGCAATGATTTCGCTCTTAAGTGGTTCTTTCAATAGTGCACTAATAAAAGTGGGTCTTGGATCTTCTTCTATCCCTAAGTTTATCTCCTGCAATGAATCTTCCACTTCTGGTAAAGAATCATCTAGTGCTGCCGGTGCAAAATCTAATACTTCCTCCTGTAAACTCTCTTCTTCTTCTTCCGTGCTCTCATGGGTGAATTCTACCATATGATGGATGACTCTGCATAAAGAGCTTCCTTTCTTCCCAATATATCAACAATCTTTTTGTAATGGATCGGATTGTCGCAGCTTGATCCTTTTCTTGTTGATTGAGACTAAACATCAGAGTTCTGGAGGTTTAAAACAAAAGGTCTATTCTAGTCTTCTAGAGAACTGGCTAGACCATCTTCAATGAGTCTCTAGGCCGTGAAACCATGAGGGCGGCCGTTCTGGTTGACTCCAAGGAATGTGAACGGACCAAGGTCATCATGATAATACCTTGCCTCAAAACACATGGCAGAGGGCAGAAATGGCTGTGGATCGGCCTCTATTATCTCCATGAAACCTTCTTCATTCCAAAAGGCTAGTTTCTGATGCAGAGTGGAAGGAACACATAGGCTCTGGTGGATCCAGTCCCTGCCAAGCAATGCATTGTAAGTGGTAGAAGTAGTGTCTGCCATAAAATGCAATCTTTAATTCTTTAGTTCCAACTATGACGTCCACATCTAGGATTCCGTGAGTCTTAGCAATGCCCCCAGCAAAGTTGGTGATGGTCAAGCGTGTTGGAATTAGATCCTTTTCTGTTCTGCCCATCTTGCTTAGCAATCTGTGGGGTAGAAGATTAATGGATGCACCTCCGTCTACCATCACTTTAGGAATAGGTCAACGTTTGCTGTTATGAACAAAGGTCTGAGGTGATTAGCCATCTCTTTGGTTGGCTTGGAAAAACAAAGCTGTTCTACAGCTAGTTTCATGGCAGTTCCGCCTGTTTTGGTAGTAGGTGTTTGCTGTTCTGGTGCCTCATCTACCTCTGCCAGTCTGCATTCAAAATTTTCCTGGGAGAACACGTCGCCCTCCAGAGTGTTTTCTTGTCCTTCTGCTGCCCTGAATTTTTCTGACAAGATGAACACCATGTTAATGCCTAGATCACCCTGTATCAGGCTCTCCAATTCTGCACTAAAAGCCTTAGTCTCCCCATTTAGTTCTCCATTATACTCCATCTGTTCTTCCCCATATTCTTATGAACAATCTTCTTGTTCTCCTGTTTCGAGGAGTCCAATCTGGTCATCTGCAGATGGTTCATAGTCCAACTGCTCCTCCTCGTATTCTTCAGTCCAGTCTTCTTGTCCCTCTACTAGAATAGGTTTGGATTCAACTTGTACTTGTGGAGGTTTAAGCTGATTGACTGAGGGTAAGGGAGGATGGATGGAAGGTCTGACTAGAGAATCCGTCTTCATTAGCTCTTGTGGTTGACGTAGTGTTTGTTCTGCTTGAGGAGCTACTTCTGGATTCTTCCCTGTTCTGGCAGAACTTGTCTTTGGAAGTACCTGTGTGTCATTCCGGTTCCTGAGGAAGATGTAGTATTGCCTTTGAACTCTCCTCTTCTGAGTTTTGGTTAATTCCAGAGTTGGTCTACCACTTTTCCAACAGAATACCACCTGCCTTCTATGATAGTTGCCAAGGTCTTTTCATTTATGGGCATATTAATTGGTATTTCTTTCTTTGGCTGCTCTACCATTTCCGAGCACTGAGCAGGCCTTAGATAGTCCTTCTGTCTGGTTCTATCCTTGGATGGAGCAGGAACTGGGCTCTGTTGGTATGATGTTCCAATCTTGTCAAAAACGCTAGGTGTGGGCTGATTCTGCCTGTCCATAGTTACGTCTAACTCACTTTCACACTTGCATTTGCTGCACAATACTACCCTAGCCAAGATGGTTGCCTTTGGCCTTTGACTAGTTTCCCTTGTGAATCTTCTGCCTCTGCTAGAGCCAGCTTCTTTTGCTAGTTTGTGTCTCTTTTGTTCTGGCTAATTTAAGTTGACCATGTTGACTTGAGGTTGGGGAAAATGATCTGTTGTAACTGAGGGAGGTTTCTCCTCCAGTTTAAGCCTTCCTGCTGTTATTCCATCATGTATGACATCTCTGAAAATAACACAGCTGTTGGTGGAATGGTTCCAAGAGTTGTGTCATCTGCAATATTGTCTGCCCTTGAGTTCCTTTAGCTTGGGCAACCAATGGGGTGTCTCTATTGCCTTTTGTAGCAGCATCTCGTCAAACAAACCTTGGTTAGATCGAAGGAATAAACCTTATTCTGTGTTGGTTTGTTTGGAACAAACCCTCTTGTGAATGGTGATGGCTTCTTTTCCTTTGGTGGCTTTGTAAGAGCCTTGCAGCTGATGGGATGTTTTAATTTTGCCATTTCTGCCACGACAATTTCTCTTTCCTCCGAGCCTTCTGTGACTTTTTTTGATTCTACCTCAACCAGATGTACTGAAGAAGAAGGGGTCTTGTAGTATGTGCCTTTGGAAGAGTTCCTCTTCTGTTCTTTCCTGAGCAACTCCTCATATTTAGATGCCTTGTCTGCCAGTTCTGCTAGATCTCCAAACAGCATCCCATCAAATCTTTTTCTCAGAGAGATTTTAAGGGCAGTTTAAGCCATTTGGATGAAGTGCCTTTCTTCAATAAGGATCCAAAATTTCATCTTAAGCTTTCTGAATCTGGTTATGAAGTCCTGAGCAGGCTCATCTTCATTCTGTTTGAGGGCAGCAAGATCACTGATGGTGACTTCTGGCTGGATCCTGAAATAGTAGTCATGGAAAACATTTTCCATTTGCTCCTAAGTTTGAACAGAATTAGCTGGTAGACTGGTATAATAGGTGAATGCTTGTCCAGAGAGAGAATTCCCAAAAAGCCTTAGCTTTAACAGAGGGTTATTTCTTTGGCTATGCATTGGACAGAGATTCTGCCTATATGCTCAACTGATGAAGCATGAGGATCCTCTCCGTTGAACAAGGTGAAGTTTGGTACCTTGAAACCCTGCCTATATGCTCAACTGATGTAAGCTGGATATGGCTTTCTGTAGGTGGGCCTTTCTCCTCTTCTGGCTTCAAGATCCATCATCTCCCTGATCATTCTCTGCAGTGCCCCCATGTCATTCAAAGCATTGACAGGGTGCGGATTTCGCCCATGTTCTGGCTGGATGTGGTCAATCCTGTACTCTATTCTGTATGGCATGGGCAGAACTTCCTCCCTGTTTTCTTCCTCTTCTTCAAAATCTGGATGATTCCTCTAGTTTGCCCTCGATCTGTTCATGTCATTGTTGGCAAAGGGGTTGATTCCCCTTCTGCCTCTTCTGCCTCTTGCTGGTGGATTGAATGGATTGGGATCCATTCTCCTGGGTCTGTAGGGCAACACAGCCAGTGCCTCAGGCAAAAGTGCTAGGGGCTGATCACATGGGGCCACAAGTTGTGGAATGGGTGGAAGTTCTGGCTAATTCTGGGGAACTTGAACTGGTACCGGAACCTCTGGCCGAACTGGACCCTCATGCTCTTGGATGGGAAGGGCTCCTTCCCTCTGCTCAGCTTGGATTTCTCTACGCCTTGGTACTCGAGTTATCTGTGCAATGAGGGGGTTATCTTGGTATGGCCATGCCAATCTTGGTGGATGGCCTTAAGGGAGGTCTAGCTGCTGGACCAGGACATCCGGGTTGGAATTCTGGCCATAGCTGCCTCATGATCCTTCCTGAACTACATGTTGACTTGCCATTGCATCATGGTTGTCATGTTGTTCAGAGTATCCTGGCTCCTTTGTGCTATGGCCTTCTGTCGGAACACAACTTCCTGTATTTGATTCAACCTCCTGGAGCCAGCCCTGGAACGTCTACTTCCGGTATTGTCATGGGCTGATCGCCTAGCATCACTTTCCTCTGACTCCAATCCTTCCCAGAGAACTACTTGATCTCTGTCCAATATTCATATACTTTAGAGGATTTTTCTAGGAGTATGTGTACTGAGAAGTCCCACTGGGCGTGCCAAATTGTTCACTCATTTGATGTTTGTTCCTGTGATGGTAGGGTAAAGTTCCTTATTGCCTTGAAAACCATCGACTGGTCAACAAATCAACTTTCTTTAGTGTGCGAGTGTGCCACTGCTAGCAATGAAAAATCCTAGTAGACTTTAAAATGGATAACTTGCACCCCAAATTATTGATTCCTAAACAAACGATTGTGAATTTGGGTGAGGAATATCTCCCAAGTAAGTTCTTTTCTTGCCTTAGACTGGTGAGGACTTCACAATTTTCACAGTACAATGTTGGTAGTTCTGGCCATAATAAATAGTAAGAAAATGAACTGTTTTCAGGCGGAACTGCCTTTTACAAAACTCAGAAGGGAAAAACCAACTCTAGAAAGATAAAAAGAATGTTGAACTTCCATTTATGCCTAGATAGATGCTTCTGATCCTGGCTGGACTGGGTATGCCTGTGCTGGACTGGACTGTTAGCAACTTCAACTACTAAGCTTTAGCTATAAATCGATACCAACGTTCTAGTTTGGCAGAGCTTTAATCTATTTCAAGCCCTAGACGGCTTTTTGAACGGGCAAAATAGCGGCCTCTTCAGTCTGAAAGGGACAGAAGTGGTTAAACTTGAAGATTATTGAGCTGGAACTGCACTGTGGTACCTGTTCTGCTTGATCATGGCTCTTCATAAATTTGTTGAGGTTTTCATATTTGTAAAAACTCAGACTCTGCTTGTATTGACTTTTACTGTACCAAATTTGTAATGAGAGAAATCTCGTTTTGAATGACTTTTCTCTAAGTCTGAAACTGGAAGTTTTGATTTATAGCTGGCTTCTTTCTTGTGGCTCAATGAACTTTTGGTTGCTTCAGTTTGTTTGAAGGTTCTTTGAGATCAAGTGATCATTTTGAGTTTTTTTGTCTTTGATTGATTTTTTGATTGTCTAATTGTCCGTTCACCTTCTCTTATATTTATAGGAAATGCTAGAGTAGGATTTCTAATCCTTTTTAAAAATGGGCGGTAGATTTTCTGAAAAACAAGATCTTTCTATTTTTTAAATGCAAGGAAAAGGGGTTTTATTGATTCTGGCAGATAAGTCCTCAATAGTCAGTTCTAAGGCAATCACTTCCCTGTATTTCTTGAAAGGAAAACCTAACCCTTCTTTGATTTTAACTGCTTTGTAAGAGCTTAAAACAGTGATGGTTAGTTTGATTCTCCGTTTGAACAACTCCCTGCTTCCTACCTATCTCTAAAGTGTAATATGCTTATCTTTTGAAAATGATGCCTTCTTTGGAGAAAAAGATATTTCTGAATATATATAAAAAGGGGATTTTGATCTTTTGGTGGCAGAGTTTTCAGAGATGTCCTTCTTTTATACTTGCCCTTGTTAACTCTTCATCAACCCAGTTTAAATTGCGGACTTTTTCAAGTTAGGAGATCACGTGGGTCTGCCTCTAATTTTTTGGGCTTTTCTTCTCTTTTAATCATGCCGAACCCAGGTTGAGTTTTCTGGAGCTATAGGCTGATTTCTTTCTTTTTGTTTTCCGAAGCCCAAGTTTATTGTCATGTTTTGACAAATTCTGGGCTGGGCTTTCTTGGATTTTGGGCCCTTGATCCCTGTTTAATCACAAAGTCCAAACTGCTTGGGTCCTTGTGGTTTGTTTTTGCTATTCTGGGCCTCCAATGTTGGGCTGAGTGTGTAATCTTGGCCCATTTATTTAGGGAATGCTGGTGGTTGTCCGAAATTGATATGGGCTTTTTGATTTTTCGGACTGGGTGTGTCAAATTAGGCCCAAACAAGTATGTATTTACCACGACATTAAAATAATGTCAAAAGTTTACTTTTGAAGAAGTGATATTACAAGTTACCACGTCGTTTTTTTATATGGAACCGACGTTGTTTGTCTTAACCTCGTATGTTTAATACGTCTTCCGTGTTTCAAGAACCGACGTCTATTCCTTTTGTTAAACGGCGTTAGGTTTAATATAACCGACCTGGATATGAAATTTTTTTTTATAAATTGAGTTTTTTTTTCACGAGTTCTTTCAGTTTTAGTTTTCAATTAGGGTTCCAACTTCTTCTTGCCCTTGGCTCTATCTCACCTCTTAGGAGGCAATTGTTTGGATGTTGGTGTGTGTGTATGTTTGTGTATATGAAAGACACAAACACACACACATCACCAACGTTCAAAAAATTGTCTCTCTGAATGCAAATCTTTCAGTTTTAGAGGCAATTGTTTGGATGTTGATGTGTTTGCGCGTTTGTGTATCTGAAAGACACAAACACATACAAACACACATACATCATCAACCTCTAAAAGATTGTCTTTCTGTGGTCCGATTATGATGAGGAACAGAGTTCCATCTAGTAAGATTTCGTAACTCTTGGGATCTCAGAAAAATCTGATTTTGTCTGCGGTTTTCTTTATAAACCGTCGTGGTTATTCTCAATTCTTGTCATTAAGTTGATCTACCGACGTAGGATAACAAAATCCAAGAAATAAATAATAAAAAGAATATTACTATTAAGAGGATGGTTTAGATATAAGGTAAGACGTATAAAGTGAATAAATACGACGGTAATTTTAACTTCACAACGTATCTCTTGGGATCTCAGAAAAATCTGATTTTGTCGGCGGTTTTCTATATAAACCATCGTGGTTATTCTCAATTCTTGTCATTAAGTTGGTCTACTGTCGTAGGATACAAAAATCCAAGAAATAAATAGTAAAAAATAATATTATTAAGACGACGGTTTAGATATAAGGGTAGACGTATAAAGTTCATAAATACGACGGCAATGTTAACTTCACGACGTGGTAAACTTTATTATACGACGTTAATTGAACAAACCAACATGGTTAGAGTTAAAGATACTCTCGTAGTACGCTACAAGAAATAAGTCGATAAATTTATCTTTACCGTCATTGTACATCCATTTAATACAGCGGTATTTTGTAATATACCGCCATGGATTCTTTTGAAATTATATGGCGCCAGATACGAAAACTTGGTTATGTTTATTACGGAGTAAAAACGGCGGCTGTTTCTTTACACTGTCGTCCTTACTTTCTACGTCGGTGGATTCATATGTTCTGCCGTTGTTTGTGGGCCCAAAGTTTACTATGAGGAAAACCTTTTTCAATAAGACATCGCTTTTTTTAATTAGGTGTGTCATTTTTTAAAAACAGCCATTGGAATCTCCATTTTTTAGGTGTTTAAGTTAACCTTACATTGCGGTTTTATAAAACTGTCGTCTTTTCAAACACAACGACGGTTTTCCGTTAAACCGTCTTCTTTTTTTTTCTGGTCGTCTTTTTCACTTTTTGTAGTAGTGACAAGTAACGATGGAGCACCTAAGTTTGATGCATCCATATATAGAAGTGTGGTTGGTACATTAATTTATCTTACAAATACAATGCCAGATATTGTTCATGCCGTAAGTGTGGTATCTAGATTTATGAGTGATCCAAGTAATCACCATTTTGCTGCAGTAAAAAGAATACTTAGATACATACAAGGAACCAAGGGATATGGTGTTAGATATACACAAGAGAAGAAAGCACAGTTAGTTGGCTACACAGACAGTGACTAGGCAGATGCAATTGATGATAGAAGAGCACCTTTGGACATGTGTTTTTCTTGGGAAGTAAAGTTATATCATGGTCATCGAAGAAGCAAAGTACAGTGGCATTATCAACAGCCGAAGCAGAGTATATTTCAGCCACAAGTGCAGCATGTGAAGCAGTTTGGATTAGAAGAATATTAGCAGATCTTCGTCAAAAACAAAACACTTCAACAAAATTGTAATGTGATAACATGTCCACAATTGCCATGACAAAGAACCTAGTCTTTCATAGCAGGTCAAAGCTCATAGAACTTCGTCATCATTTTATCAGAACATTGGTTGAAGACGGAGAGATTGAATTGAAATTCTGTGGTATTGATGAGCAGATTGCATATGTTTTTACAAAAGCACTTCCAAGAGAGAAGTTCTACTATTTCAGAGAAAAGCTAAATGTCGCAGGACAAATGCATTAAGAGGGAGTGTTAAACGTAATGCATTTGTATCAGTTGTTAAGTAGAGGTGTGTCTCTTGAGAAGATCTATGTTTAGGAAGAGTTGTATCTCTTAGAAGTCTAGAGTTGTGTCTGCAACTCTTGGAACTAATCCAAGAGTTATGTCTGTTTATGAAAAGTTCTTAGTGTTATTATATATAGCCAATGTAATAGGCTGCTGTAGTATGAAAGAAGTTAACAAAAATCAGTTTGAATAATTCTCTGTTTTACAAACACTCTCTGCCTCACTTTATATTTCCATCATATACTTCAGTTTTGTGATCATTCCTTCAATAAAGCTAACAATTGAAGACCACCCATTTGCAAAAGATGGTCTCATTCTTTGGGATGCCATTAAGGAGTGGGTGAGTGACTATGTGAACCACTACTATCCAGATCCAACTCTTGTTGAGTCTGATAAGGAGCTTCAAGGTTGGTGGACAGAAGTTTGAACAAAAGGCCATGCAGACAAAAAAGATGAGCCATGGTTAACCGCTGGTCATCATGCAGCTGTGAACTTTGAACAGTATACGTATGCTGGATACTTCCCAAACAAGCCTACAATAGCTCGAACCATCCAACAGAAGATCCATCTGATTACTCTTTTAAGAATTTTCTGAAGAGACCAGAAATGACACTGCTAAACTGCTACCCATCACAAATTCAAGCAACACAAATGATGGTTGCGATGGATGTGTTATCGAATCATTTACCTGATGAGGAGTATCTTGGTGAGAATCTCGAGTCTTCATGGGCTGAAAATCCTATGATAAAAGCTGCATTCGAGCAGTTCAATGGAAATTTGAAGAAGCTAGAAGGAATAATTGATGAGAGGAATACCAACTTGAACCTGAAAAACAGAGTTGAAGCAGGAGTTGTTCCATATGAGCTCTTGAAGCCATTCTCGATGCCCAGGGTCACTGGAATGGGAGTTCCTAACAGCATTGCCATCTAGATTTGATCAGTGGGCGAAGCCGAAAACTTTTCACAGGGTGTCACCTTACATAATCAAAGCTATTTTTCTTTAAGGTGATAATTAAACTCATTTTTTTACTTGATTTATGAACTCCATTATGTTACTTGTTACATTCCTTGTCTAACGATCATTGATAAAGAAAAAAAAATATCAATTCAAATAAGTGAACATAATTTATTAACTTTTACAGATTGACAATATTCATTTGGTTATAACTTATATGTGTATCAGTCCTGTTGTCCTCGACTCTATGGTCCAAGGCACTTGTGGCCACCCACCCTTAGATCTAATATAATGGTTGAGAACATAATCTAAAATATTGATAATATCGACGAACTTGTGGCCATCCACCCTTAGATCTAATCTAATGGTTGAGAACATAGTCTAAAATATTCATAATATTGACGAACTTGTGGCCATCACCCTTAGATCTTTTTTATTTTTGGGTCTGAAAACCCACCCTTAGATCTAATCTAATGTTTGAGCTTGAGAGAACACTAGGTTAAAAATTAATATTATTTTACTTTTATTGTATATGATATTAATTTAACTTAAAGAAAATGATTTTTGATCGAAATGGTCCCTCAATTTTTGCTCGAGTTTCAATTTGGTTCACCAACTAAAATTTTCAGTTTAGTAGTCCTCCAACTCACCATTTAGTATCAAAACGGTCCTACAAGTCGAAGTCTGTCAATTTTCCCATTAAATTGTGAGGTAACACTGTCCATATGTTAGAAGCTCCCCCAAATTAGAACCCTAGTTATGCTGTTGGAAACTCAAGTGAGAAAAATTAAGGAATCTCTGCAATGTCGGAGATTTCAACGGATTCAAGTGTCATGAGTCGATACAGCATATGTGGGACAAATATGGGTTGTGGCTGTGGTTGGGTGAGGATAGTGTTAGGTTTATTTTTACACATGATTTGTCATGTTATTCACCCATGATTTTGAGTTAGTTCTTGACATTTTATAGCTTTTTACTTCCTCTTTGTGTTTTCATAGATTTTACTTTGGTTAGAATGAAAATAAGCTAAAAATGCATTCTTGGTTATAAATTCTGTTTTTCTTCATTTTCGTAGGTCAACTTTTTGGCCTTGGATCAGCATGCTCCGGTGCTCGGATGAGGTGAAGATCTTCATGAAACTTGTTTCAATAGATGCTGACTACAACATATCCGAATTTAAGCTCCATTGAGCAAGTATTGCCCAGCCAACCGATCCAACAATTGATCCTAGCTCTGGTATGTTTTGGGCCAGTTTCACCTCCACTTGGTGTCATCTTATTTCTACTAGTTACGATACCATTTGGTAACAATGCATTACCATATTGAAGTGGGATTTTCTGAGTCAAAGGGAGCCTTGGAATGTATTTAAAAACAAAACCCCATCATGACAAGGAGACAAGGAGGAGACAAAGGCTTTAGCAAAAGGTGGAGTTTAATATTGAACTGTGAGTTGGAAAGGAGGAGAGAAGGCAGCAAAGAGAGCATCAGCCATTCTTGGAACCATGAGACAATCCTTTTGCGGAGAATTGAGGAGAGATTGGAGCTAGAGAGTTAGAGGAGGAACACAAGGTGTAGCCAAGCAAGAAGCGGAAGAAGATTTCCACCATTGAAGACCTTGAGCTTCCATCCACTACTACAAAAAGTGAAAAAGACGACCAGAAAAAACGACGGTTTAACGGAAAACCATCGTTGTGTTTAAAAAGATGACGGTTTTATAAAACCGCCGTGTAAGAACAACTTAAACACCTAAAAAATGGGGAATCCAATGGTTGTTTTTAAAACACGACACACCTATATTAAAAAGCGGCGTCTTATTGAAAAAGGTTTTCTTCAGAGTAAACTCGGGGCCCAAAAACAATGGCAGAAGGTATGACTAAACCGCCATAGAAAGCAAAGACGACGGTTTAAAAAACAGACGCCGTCTTTTCTCTGCAATAACCACGACCAAGTTTTCATATCCAGCGTCGCATAATTTCAAAAGAATCCACGGCGGTATATTACAAAATACCGCCGTCTTAAATACATGTACAACGACGTAAAATATAATTTTATTGACTTATTTCATGATCCATACTACGACAGTATCTTTAACTCTAACCACGTTGGTTTGTTCAATTAACAACGTGTAATAAATTTACTACGGCGTGAAGTTAAAATTACCGTCGTATTTATTCACTTTATACGTCTACCCTTATACCTAAACGGTCGTCTTAATTACATTATTTTTTACTATTTATTTTTGGATTTTGGTATCCTACAACAGTAGACCAACTTAATGACAAGAATTGAGAATAACCACGACGGTTTATATAGAAAACCGCCGATAGAATATATTTTTCTGAGATCCAATATATACGTCGTGAAGTTAAAATTACCATCGTATTTATTCACTTTATACGTCCGACCTTATATCTAAATCGTCGTCTTAATTGTAATTTAAAAATAAATAAAAAAATCTTGAATTCTGTCACCCTACGTCTGTAGATCAACTTAATATCAAGAATTGAGTATAACCACGACGGTTTATATAGAAAACAGCAGACAGAATTAGATCTCAGATCCCAAGAGTTACGAAATCTTACCAGATGGAACTCTGTTCCTCATCATAATCGGACCACAGAAAGGCAATATTTTACAGGTTGATGATGTATGTGTCTTCGTGTCTTTGAAACACACGAATGCACAAACACATCAACACCAAAAAATTTGCCTCTAAAATTTGATGACGGCAGCCACAGATTTGCATTTAGAAAGGCAATTTTTTGGAAGTTGATGATGTGTGTGCGTTTGTGTAGATACACAAACGCGCACACACATCAACATCCAAACAATTGCCACTAAAATTTGACGACGGCAGCCACTGATTTGCATTCAAAGAGACAATTTTTTGAATGTTGGTGATGTGTGTATATTTGTGAATCAGATACACAAACATACACACACACTAACATCCAAACAATTGGCTCCTAAGAGGTGAGACAAAGCCAAGGGCAAGAAGAAATTGGAACCCTAATTGAAAACTGAAACTGAAAGAAATCGTGGAAAAAACTCAATTTATAAAAAAAATTTCATATCCACGTCGGTTACGTTTAAAATAACGCCGTGTAATAACGAATCAACGTCGGTTCTCGAAGTAAGACGTATTAAACACACAAACAACGTCGGTTATTAACATTAAGTCAACGATGTTTTTGAAAAGTACGGCGGTTGAATATAAAAAAATGACGTGGTAACTTATAATATTACTTATTTAAAAGTAAACTTTTGACGTGTAGCACCCAACTAACCACATCGTTTTCGGAATACAAAAAGTCAAAAGGCTTTTTACTAACCACGTCGGTTCATATTATTTTAATGTCGTCGTAACGACATACTACGTCGGTTTATATGACCACCGTCGTTGGATTTATCTTGGGACACTATATAAACTTTTTGGTCACCTGACCTAAACTTTTACGTTCTCTCTAAAATTTTCAGTTTTCTCTCAGTTTCCCTCTCATTTCCGAAAAGCTGCGTTTCTGATTCTCAGTTTCCCTCTCAAGTTCTACGTTCTTCCTCGTCTTCGTCTCCAAAATTTGATTCCGAAGGAAACTTTCTTTGCAAGCCAAAGGTTTGAAAACTTTCTCATTCATTTTTTTTCTTCATTTGAAGTTTTTTTTGTTTAAAGAACTATCTCACTGATGTTTGAAACAAGACTCAGGTTTGAAAATGACAAATCTTTCTCACAAGTCATATGAGGACGACGGGTTTTATTTAAACCGTCGTTTGGTTTGTTGGAAGAATGTGGGAGAGAGAAAACTGAGCGGGTTTTTTTATGAATTTATAATACCACGACGGTCTAAGTTAATGATTACATCGTATTAACACATCCTCATTTTGTCGATTTGCACGACGGTTATTTTTTTGTCCGTCGTCTAAACTTTCATTTTACCTCTGTATTTCACCTAACCATCGTTGTTTTTCTTGCAGTTTGTATTTCTCTGTAACCATGGTTTCGGAATCTCAAAGTAAGGATTCTCAGGGATCCAAAGGTCAAGGCAAGGAGATGGTGCTGTCGTCTGCCGCCAAAAAATGGAAGGATTTTAAGTCTACCTTAACTAGGCAGTTTATCCTTCCATTCGCAAATGAGAAGGAGAAGTTAAAAGAGCCCCCTCAGCTTTATAACTTCATAGAGAAATCTGAATGGGATGCCTTTGTAGCTTCAAGGTTATCCCCAGATTTTGAGGTTGTGCATTCTAAGCAGTCACAGAGAAGGGAGAAATGCGAGTACAACCATAGGCTGTCTAAAAAGGGTACGTTGGTTTGGAGGATCAATTGGAAGAAACCATGCCCGGTGAAGAAATCGATCGATCTCTGCTATGGAAGAAGGCAAGAGAAGATAAACAGGGAAACATCCCTTATCCAAAGGTTGCAGAGAAGGCAAAATTAATCGTAAGTTTCACTGACTCTGTTCTAAACTTGTAAAACAAAGGTTTTATTTTTCATTCAGACGTCGGTCTTTTTATCAACCGTCGTTAGACACGAAACCTCACGACGGTTTTTAATCACCGCCTTTTAAAAAATAAATAACGTCAATATTTTTATAAAACCGACGTCTTCATTGAATTACAACGACGATTTTGTGTTTCTGTATAAGGTTTTTTAAATTAAATTTTGAACTTTCTTCATATTCACATGCACACACACTCTCTCTCCCTCTCTATTTCTCTGCAATTGGTTTGTACACTATTTCTAGATCAGTGAATAATTTGGTTAAGTGTTTTATCTATGATATCAAATAAACAATGGTTATTTCATGGACCGACATTTTAATATATACAAAACGACGGTAGTTTTGGGACGACGTATTAAATTATTTTCTGCGTCTGTTTTTAAAATAAACCGTCGTTATAACCTCTTTACCACGTCGGTTAATATTTTTATTAATTTATTTATTTGTTCAGTTTTACTATATGTTCACTCACTGACATTCTCTCTCTCACTTTTAGGATGATTTGTAAAAACAAGTCTCCGAGGGCACTCTGACTGTCTCTGGGAGCAACGATGTTTTGACCATGGCTTTGGGAACACCTGAACATGGTGGGAGAGTCAGAGGTGTTGGAGCTGGGGTTTCCCCAACTCAATTCTTCAATTTGCTGAGACAGCAGAGAGTAAAATTTGCTGACAAATTGAAGGAAAGTGTTATGGCAGCAGTGAGAGAGGAAACCAAAAAGATGGAGGCCAAGGCAAAGGAAAGTGTTATGGAGCAGAGAGGGAAATTATGTTGAAACAATTCAGTCAACTAATTCCCAACTTTGATCCCAACATGCTCAGTCAACTACACCAACTACACCAATTACTCCAATTCCTCCAATTCCTCAAGAGCAAAGCCCAAAAAATCCAATGTCTGACAAAGCACGCTGCTCTAATGTAAGAGCCCCTGAATTGGATGAAGACAATCCCATGAATGATGCTGATGTTGATGCTGCTTAAAACCGTCAAGATCAAACGGTAAAATCTCTGACATTTGCTTTTTCTGAATTTTAAATTTTAAATAGACGTCGGTATTTATTTTAAAACCCGTCGTCTAGTTTAACCTAGATGACCTTTCTATTGTGTAGCGACGTTATAACTTTTACACAACGACTGTTATGTATTTACCGTCGTCTATAACCTTTACCCCGTCAGTATGTTCTAGAAACCGTCGTTGATATTATATACCACGTCGATTTTGTTGATTTGTTGGAGTCATTTATTTTACTTCATGAACACACTAACTTTTATTTCTTTATTTATTTCTTGTTACAGGATCTCTCAAAGCTTGACATGCCAGCTCCTCTGTTAGCCCTATGCCAATATGTCGAGACCAAGTTGAAGCCTGCTAACGAGACCATTACAGTTCACATGCCTGAGGAAATGTTTGGCACTGATCATGATACCTGGCTCTTGAGTGAAGACATTTTACAGTTTGCTTCCATGGTTGAGATTGGGGCCACAGTGATTGCAGTATACATGAGGTAATTCTAGAAATCCAATTTTGTTTTTTTTACATTTTCTTTCTTTTAAATTAAAATCTCATTTAATTGAATTTCATATATTTAATTAGGTACCTATTTGACTATTTAAAAATGGCAAATATGGTAAAACTTGTTGGGCTCGTGGACCCTGGACAAGTCAGCTCTCAATCTGGAACGTTATCTCACCGCTCAAAACATCTCTCAGAAAGCCTGAAAAAGGCAGATGGGGATCAATTTTACTTGGTGCCTTATAATCCAGGGTTAGTCCCCTTCTACACTTAATTGGTTCCTTGTAATATATTTTTTTGTAGTATATTTAATATATATGGATAATTTTGTGTAGGGGTCATTGGGTGTTAATAATTGTGAGACCAGCTAAGGAGACTGTCTATTACATGAATTCATTGCCAAACCGCTCTGTTGACGAGGACATGAGAAATATAGTGAATACGTAAGTTTCTTAATGAAAACCTATGATTTTTTATATCTGCATTTGATTGATACGATGTCTTTTTCCAATACCGACGTTGTAGTGAAAACACAACGACGGTGTATTATAACCGACGTTTTGAATCATTTACAACGTCAGTATTTTCTTGAAACCGTCGTCGTAATTGAAATACCACGTCGATTTTGTTTTTAATTTTAGGACTTTTAAATTTTTCTGTTAAACTTTCATTTAAAATTAACTTTGGTTATACATCGTTTTTCTTCGTCACCGACGTCAGAATGAAACACAACGACGATTCTTATTTTCCGACGTTGTATATAAAATACAACGTCATTTGTTTTAAAAAAACCGTCATCTTCAATAATTTACCACGACAGTTAATAATTTTGATGCTGATTTTTTGTTTTGTCATTAACACTTTTTGTTTTCTTGATACTGTTCAAAATGTATAACTCTCACATAGGGAAACAATCATCACGTAAATCACCCATATGGAAAAATCTACAAGGCACTCCTAGACAACCAACAAATGTAGAGTGTGGCTACTACGTGATGCGTTTCATGAGAGATATAATTCATGATCTAGCCCTAGCCTTTGAGAAGAAGGTAAAATTTAATATATAATTTCTTTATTTTAATACCGCGTCGTTTTCTTTCAAAACCGTTGTTTTATTACTTCTAACACGTCGGTTTTTGTTCTTTATTTGCAGTTTGACAAGAAAAAGGAACCAGTTGTGTATACTTAAGAACATATTGACGAAGTCAGGCTGGAATGGGCAGAATTCGTGCACAAGCAATTACAAAACAATAATTGATAATATACATTTATTTAAAAATATTTAGGTTTATTTTAATTTTTTGACAATGTATATAAACATATTTTTAGTAATTATTTGAACATTCATAAAAAAAAATCAAATGAAATATATTGTTGTTTCTAATTTTTTATTTATTTATAAATATAAATGTGGTAAAATGAATTAAAATGAAAATAAATCATAAAAATGTAAATTAATTCCCAAAATCCAACGTCTCATTCATCTTTACACGTCACTTATATATAGTTGGAAACAAAACATGCATTTCTCAAAAACGACATTTAAGGTTGATATACACATCGGTTTCTTTAAAAAATTGAAATCTACGAAAAAAATTTGTAGAGATATACAACGTCCGTTACATGTTAAATGCTGACCTTGTATCCATAAATAACGTCATCATCAGAATAGTAATAGACGTTGTAAATACTAAACATGTCGGTTATTACATTTCGACGTTTAATGTTTACTAGGACGACGTTGTGCATTACTTAACGTTGTTGTAAACTAATGCAACGTCGGTTATGTACTTTTGTATTCAATTTTTGTATGACATTTAATATTTTATTCCTAATATTCGTAATAATTTCAAAACAAATTGCATAAAGTAACTGACAACTACTATGCACTCATTGGAAGATTTTATCTCCCCTAAATCTTTAAAAAAATTATTTTTATTTGTATTTAATTACTAATATTTAAAAAATATTCATAAAAAATCCAAAAAATAAACTGACAAATTCTATGCACTCATTGAGACAATATCTATCCCCTACATGCTTGAAAATTTTAATTTTAGATTTCAAAATTAGAAGTGATAACAAAAGTCAAAATGATTTAGAGACAAAGCACAATAGTCATTATACTTTCCATTACATAACCCTAAGGTTTATGTGATCCATTGGTGGTCACAAAATAATAATTGATAATATACATTTATTTAAGAATGTATAGGTTTATTTTAATTTTTTGACAATGTATATAAACATATTGTAAAAATGTGTTAAAATGAAATCAATGAAAATAAATCATAAAAATGTAAATTAATTCCCAAAATCTGATGTCTCATTCATCTTTACACGTCTCTTATATATAAACCACCGACGTCTTATTATAGCGGGAAACAAAACATCGACGAAATTTCTCAAAAACAACATTTAATGTTGATATACATGTCGGTTTCTTTAAAAACTGAAATCTACGAAAAAATTTGTAGAGACATATAACGTCTGTTACATGTTAAATGCTGACGTTGTATCCATAAACAACGTCATCATCAGAATAGTAATAGACGTTGTAAATAACTAAACACGTCAGTTATTTCATTGCGACGTGTTATGATTACTAGGACGACGTTATGCATTACTTAACGTCGTTGTAAACTGATGCAACGTCGGTTATGTACTTTTGTATTCAATTTTTGTATGACATTTAATATTTTATTCCTAATATTCGTAATAATTTCAAAACAAATTCCATAAAATAAACTGACAACTACTATGCACTCATTGGAAGATTTTATCTGCCCTAAATCTTTAGGAAATTTAATTTTAAAATTATTTTTATTTGTATTTAATTACTAATATTCAAAAAATATTCATAAAAAATCCGAAAAATAAACTGACAAATTCTATGCACTCATTGAGACAATATCTATCTCCTACATGCCTGAAAATTTTAATTTTAGATTTCAAAATGATAACAAAAGTCAAAATGATTTAGAGACAAAGCACAATAGTCATTATACTTTCCATTACATAACCCTAAGGTTTATGTGATCCATTGGTGGTCATAAAATTGAAAATTCTTTAAAATAGATTTTAGCCTAATAATATAGAAGGCATTGTTGTAAGGAGTCCATAGCAATTTTCGGTTCATTTTTCTCGTACTTGTGTATTTTTTTATAATTATTGTAAAATTTAGGGTTTAGGGTTTTATTGAAACGATGCCGGTTTGCTCTTGCTCTTTTTGGTCAATACGCGCATTCAAATCCCAGGAAACGCACACCAAAGCTAATTTTTTTAATATTTTAGACGTCGGTTTTTGTATGGGCAACGTCAAAACATAATACAACGTCGTAAATGTAAAATAACCGTTGTTATAAATACGAAATTAAACAACTACCGGGTTGTATTTACTGTCGTCTTTAATAAATGCGGTTCTTTGAAATTTTTGACCGGGATCTAAAATTTTCCGAATTTCATTTAACCCTTAAGTATTTCCTTCTCTCTCTTCAACGTAAATTTGTCCTAAAGTTTTCGCTCTCTCTCAAAGCATTGGGTATTTTCTCTGAGCTCTCTCTCAAAGCATTGGGTTATATCTCAGAGCTCTCTCAAGCATTTGATATTTTCTCTCAGCTCTCTCTCAATATCCATGTAAGTATATTCTCTCAGCTCTCTCTCAATATTCTCTTATTATTAGTTTGTATATATTCTCTCAGCACTCTCTCAATATTCTCTTAGATCTCTCTAAATATTTGTTAGTTTGTATATTCTCTCATCTTTGGTTTCTTAATATGGGTTCTTTTATGTTTTGGGAGCTACGGGTTCTTGATTGGGAGCTATATATGGGTTCTTTTATGTTTTGATGTTTGCATTCTGTTAAGGGTTCTTTGAAATGGAATGGGGATGGAAGAATTAGGCTTTGATTTTTTGTAGATCATGACGACGGTTGGTTTCACCAACCGTCGTCTAAAATTTTATTATACATCGGCTTGTTATTTACTACCGCCGTCATTGTTAGTCTTCAATAACCCAGCCCTGTTCTTCAAAAAGAATACAGATATCTTGTTGTTTGCTTAAAGACGACGGTAAATAGACATACCGTCGTCTTAATATATGTTACGCGACGATATAGTAGTGTTTCATTGCTGGTCTTTTCACCTTATTATATGTATGATTTTATAGTGTGAGAGATGGATAAGTCATGGATGCATGTGGATAGAAGATCGAAGGCATATGAGTTAGGTGTGGAAGGATTTTTGAATTTTGCTATAGAAAATCTTTTAAATACAACTCATATTCATTGTCCATGTGTTAAATGTGGGAATATTCGATTGTTTGGAGTTGGAATTATAAGGGACCACTTATACTTTAATGTAATTGACCAAAGCTATAAGATTTGAACATGGCACGGAGAACCTTTGGAATGGACTACTAATGCTAGTAGAAATGTGGAAGAGGATGAGCAATGTGGGTTCAGTTTTGTTTCTAAAGAAGTAGGGATGGATGATAATGATTTAGGCAATATTGGATTTGATCCTTATGAGTTTGCCAATGTGATTGGAGATGGAGATCAACCCTTGTACCCTAGTAGCAGTAAGTACACGATATTGTCGGCTTTGGTGAAGTTATATAATTTGAAAGCAAAACATGGGATGAGTGATGTTTGTTTTACAGAATTATTGATACTTCAAGGAGATTTGCTTCCAGAAGGAAATACACTACCTTCCTCTATGTAAGAGGCCAAAAAGATATTGTTTGCTTTAGGGATGAGTTATGAGAAAATCCACGCATGTCCCAATGATTGCATCTTGTATAGGAAAGATTATGAAGATTCAACTAATTGTCATACTTGTGGTGTCTCAAGGTGGAAGGAAGGCAAAGATTCAATCTTGAAAGAGGGTGTGCCAGCGAAGGTGGTATGGTATTTTCCTCCAATTCCAAGGTTTAAAAGGATGTTTCAATCACATAAGACAGCTAAGAGTTTGACTTGGCATGCTGCTAGAAAATCAGTTGACGGTCAAATATCTCATCCAGCGGATTCCCCGTCTTGGAAACTTGTTGATGACAAATGGCTCGAGTTTGGTAAAGAGCCGAGAAACTTGAGGTTGGCTCTCTCATCTGATGAATTCAATCCCCACAGTTATTTAAGTAGAAGATATAGTTGTTGGCCATTATTTTAGTTACATATAATCTCCCACCATGGCAATGCATGAAACGGAAGTTCATGATGTTGACCTTATTGATTTCTGGTCCTAAACAGCCTGGAATTGATATAGACGTCTACTTAGAGCCTTTTATTGATGATTTAAAATCTATGTGGGATGGGATTAGAGGAGTGTATGATGCACATATAGGAAATACTTTACACTCAGAGGTGTATTATTGTGGACAGTTAATGATTTTCCTGCCTATGGAAACTTATTTGATTGTGTTGTTAAAGGATATAAAGTTTGTCCAATATGCGGCGATGATACACCTAGTCACAGGTTGAAAAATGGCCACAAAATTTGTTACATTGGGCATAGAAAATGGTTACCAATCAATCATCTATATCAGAGGCAACGTGCAGCTTTTAATGGGAGAAGAAGTGTTGCACATTGTTGAAGATATTAATTACATATGGGGCTCGAAAAATGGGGGAAGTGTTAGTGAGAATGATGGTGACAGAGTTTGTTGGAAGAAGAAATCAAAATTCTTTGCTCTCGAGTATTGGAAATACCTTTATGTGAGGCATGTCCTAGATGTTATGCATATTGAGAAGAATATTTGCGATAGTACCATTGGTACATTGCTGGAAATCCCTGGAAAAAATAAATATGGGATTGTTGCTCAGTTAGATTTATTGAACATGGGGGTCAAAACTGATTTGCAACCCGAGTATGGACAAAGACATACTCGCTTGCCTCCAGGGCCTTGGAATTTGTCAAGAGCAGAGAAGAGAGCGGTTTTCAATTCTTTCTATGGTATGAAGGTCCCTAAAGTTTATTGTTCAAATATAAAAAATCTTAAATCTTTAAAAGATTCAAGACTTCTTGGACTTAAATCTCATTATTGTCATACCTTGATGCAACAATTGCTCACTGTGGCAATTCGTTCTGTTTTAGAGAAGCCTGCAAGGTATGCAATAACTCGATTGTGCTTCTTCTTCAATGCTATATGTGCAAAGACGGTGGATGTTTTCAAGCTAGATAAGTTGGAAGAAGATGTAGTAGTTACTTTGTGTTTGCTTGAGAAGTACTTTCCCCCTTCATTCTTTGATATCATGGTTCATGTAGTAGTACATCTTGTCAGAGAAGTTCATCCATGTGGCCCAGTATATTTTAGATGGATGTATCCGTTTTAAAGGTATATGAAAGTGCTAAAAGGGTATGTTCAGAACCGTACTCATCCGGAAGGTTGCATTGCTGAGCGGTATATAGCTAAAGAAACTGTAGAGTTTTGCACCGAGCATTTATCTGAAGTTAATACAGTTGGAGTGCCTTCAAGCCAGAAGATGGGAGTTTCAAAGCCATTATCAGGTTGCACAGTAAGCTTAGTTGATCGGGACTTGTTAAACCAGGCACATTTATATGTCTTGGAGAATACGAAGGAAGTCCTGCCTTATATCAAATACGTATGACTTTTATTTTTCATATGGAGCCATTTTAAACATTATTATTCCTTATGTTTATCTTATATACAAGGAATCATAATGCTTAATTTTTTGGTGTCAATGTAGGGAACATATGATCCACATCAAGACCACTTATCCAAAATTTAGAAAGAGAACAAAGTGGCTGCAAGATAAGCACAATAGCACTTTCATTTAATGGCTCCACTTTAAGGTATATATATGTTATTGAATGACATGCATCAATTTTTAATTTTCTTCCATTTTATATGTTAGATTGAATTAAGGTATATATGATTAATTTTCAGGTTCAAAGTGAACTTAATGGGGAAGAGCATAATGGCGTATCAGAAAATTTGAGGTGGCTAGCAGCTGGTCCAAGCATGGCAGTGCCATCATATAGGAGCTATCTTATTAATGGTGTTAAATTTAACACCAAGGCACAAGATGATGTGCAAACTATCCAAAATAGTGGAGTTTATTTACTTGCACATACTATGCAAGTTGCTAGTGCCAAGGATAAAAACCCTATTGTCTCCAATATGAGTTTTTATGGTGTTATTCAAGAAATTTGGGACCTTGACTGCCAAAAGTTTAGAATCCCAGTCTTGAGGTGTGATTGGATAGATAACACTTCGGGCCTTGTAGTCAACAAACTTGGATTTACCCTTGTAGATCTGAGTAAAATTGGCCATAGGAATGACCAATTTGTTATGGCTTCTCAAGTCAAACAAGTATTTTATGTTGATGACCCAATGCATTGTGGTTGGTCGGTAGTGTTATCAATGCCTAATAGAGAATATAATGATGTTATTGGTGATGATGTGCTAGGTGATACTAGAATTGAGTGTGAGCCATTTACTAGAGGGATACCAAATGTTGACACATTTGATGACCTAGTGGGTGAGTTTAGGAATGAAAATATTAGAGATGGGTGTGGAGATATATGGATTGATTGATTGTTGTAATGTATGACCTTAGTTATTCAGTTAATTGTATGACATTAATTAATAATTATGTACAACATTTTCATTATGCAGGCTTTGGGCAAGACAAATCAAAAATTAAAAAAGCTGGGTTAAAGCTTTAGGGATAAAAATTGGAAACACAGACGTCTAAGATAAAAACAACGTTGGGTTTCAAAAGGCAACATACTGTAAAACAAAAAAAACAGACATCTAAAAAAAAATTAAGACGGTTTGCTTAAAATAAACCGTCGTCTAAACCTCAAAATAAAGGCCTTTCAGTTCCATTAACTGTCGTGACAGATGTTCTGCACGTTTGCTAGTCTATAACTGACGTCTCCGCGCATACATATGTCACGGCAGGTCAAACAAGTGACTTTTAAAAGGACAACCACGTCATTATGTAATAAGAACCGACGTGATAAGCAATTACAACGTCAAGCAGGTGGATCTCTAGACGTAGTGAAGTAATTAACCACGTCCTTTATTTTAAAGGAACAGACGTTGAATCTATAATACACGTCGGTTATGTTCCTATCCACGCCTTAAATACAATTTATAATGTCAGCCCTTGACATAAACCGACGTGGGGGAGAGTTTTGTACGTCGATATTGAGTAATATTCTATTATTTTAAATATTTTAGACGTCGGTTATTTAGAAAAAGTAATGTCTACCTCTGTTAAAGGGCCTTCTTTATTCTATTTAAACGACAAATCTAAAAAAAAAACAGACGTGTGCACGAGTTAACACGACGGTTTGTATTATAGTTCGCGACGTGGATAAATACATAAGCGTTGGTGATGCCTGGTGCAGGACGTAGTTATTTTATTTTACGGCGCTTATTGAAAGACAAATGACATGTAATACTCTTTAAATGTTTTGTGTGGTTTGTGTTTGTACATCGTTGGTTTATGGTTCACATCGGTTTTTTTTTTTTTTTTTTTTTTATTTGTAGTAAATATTAACCACGACGGTTTCTAGCTTATCCAAGTCTTTTTCCCTTCATTTAGAGACTTGGATAATTATCTGTACGTCGGTTCTTCTTTGGATCTTGACATGTAACAGTCTTTAGACGTCTCCTTTTTCATAAAACCGTCGTCTAATGTTGTCAGATATTTCATTTTAGGCTAATTATATAGTAATTACACGTCGGTTAGTAATAAATATGGACGTTGAATTCCTTAACAACGTCAGTTATTAACCGTCGTGGTTGATTGTACAAAAAATGGCGGTCGATTTCACAACGGTTGGAAAACCTTCTACACGACGATGGTTTCCCGTCGTCTATTTCGATTTTTGTAGTAGTGATCACTTTCACAAAATCTGTAAACTCTTTCTAGTTATATTTTGAATTTGTGTTTGAAATAAGTATGAGGAGCTAAACTCCACAGCTGTTGGCTACGCAAATCTCACGGCCTGGTGCTCCGGGCCGAGGGGATGTGCGTTAACACGTGATGTCCTTCTTTTGGATGCGGTGCGGTTGTGCGTGGGCGTGCTAGCACGGTCTATCGTGCGTCGAGATGGTGATGAGGTTTGGGTAGAAGATGGTTAAATGATGCGCCTGTTTTGAGTTCGACTCCTGATCAAACGATTGTGGCCGAGATAGGAACTGATCTCGGCCGTCAAGTTCACGGCCTGAGCTACAAGGCCGTTTAGTGGTGGTGTTGGTGGCGGGTTTTAGGCGATGCTCCGGCGCGTTGCTCAGAGAGCGACGGTCGTATGATATATGGGGTGAATGAGATGATAACAGAGATGGTGCTCTGGCGCCTTGAAAATCAAGGGTCGTATGATATATTGATGAATGGATTTTCCTTACAATCTACCACTACTCCTAGGAAAGCAAATAAAGGTATTGAAAGTGCATTACAGGAAAATATAATTTGCTCTGTGGGAGGCTTTTGGTTTGGTGTTTGAACCCTTGAATGTAGTCTTGAGCTTAGTATTTATAGGGGGAGTCCTGGAGGGACAATCGAGGCTGAAAAGACCTGCGTGGTGGAGCCTGATCGGGGCAAGTGGGTAGTCAAATCGGCATTTGGGATCGTGAAGCATGGTGGTGTGACCCCCATAAATCCCAGTAAATCTCGGCCACCGCCCTGATCGTGGGTTCAGCCCTCTTGGCCGTGGGAACGCATTTTAATGCCCTGGTCTAGTGGTTGGTGATCTGACCTCAAGTTGTAAGATTGCTTGTGAGAATGTTTGCGCCTAACCACTCTGATTTCCATCACCAAATCCTGACTTCAGTCACTTCCCTTCTTCCCTCGTGCATTAAATGCTTCTTACGACTAGTGGGTTTGCTGCGATAGTCAGAGGCATTACTTCATTAAATGGGGCGTGGGACCCTGAGGCCACGTGGCGATTTAACCACAGTATCTTCGGCCGTGTCTTTTACGGCCTTCGGCTTCGGCCTATAATACCGCGGTCGCGAGGACGAGAGGATTCTGCCTTTGCAGCTTTTCTTTTGTTTCCAAGAAGGCGAAATGCCTAACGAAACGGTAGGTGCTAGGGCCGAGAGGAAGTCCCTTCAGTCAGTTTATGACTGTGATTTATTAGGCACAAACAACAGCTAGGGCTTAGGTTGAAGCCATAAACGTGAATACTTTATTGTTTTGATGCTTGAGTGTATGAATTTCTAGATATTGTTGATGAATTCTCATTCACTAAAGTAATCTATCCTTGATATATGTTTTTCTTTGATTGATCACCTTTGAAAGCATGCTTCTTGAGATTGTTGGGATTACATGTACCCTTATGTCTTCCTAAGCAACAAATGGATGAAGTAAGAATCATCCATGTGAATTGGTTTCTTGAATGCCTAATGTAAACATCATACTATCAGGGTTCTTGTGATGTTCATATTCTCTTTGAACTCAATGGGTTTTTTTTTGTAATTAAATCGAAGTACTAAGCTCACCTAGATTGATTATAGGGAAGGCACGATTATTGTAGCACTAGCCCCACACTCTACTTATATTAGAGAGAATCAATGCATCTTGAGCCACTAGACCTAGTCTTGATTGCGAATATCTTCATCAACACATTTAGAGTTCATCACTTGAGTGTCCGTGAGCATGGATAGGATTGTTTAGAGTGGATTCTGAAACCTTAGTGTTTGTTACATATTTTCACACTTTGATTTTCATCTCTGTCAATCTTGTTAAAATCAGAATTCGATTACATTCAAGCATTAGAATTACGTCACTTGAAACAAACACACCCACCCCCCCCCCCCCCCCCCCCCCCCCACCCCCCCTCGTGTGTGTGTTTGAAACGTTGTGTGTTTTCTTCATTGAATTCTGCTCACTTCTATAATTTTTTTTGACATTTGATCCACTAAGAGTCTTTACTTTTTCTGTGTTGAATCCAAACATATAAAGAACGTGAAATTTGGACAAACAGTTGGAAAATTATACTAGACCGGACAATATCGTATACAATCCGTTAACACGACACGAATTCGCAAAAATAATTCAGTTTTTGGGTTCATGTTATCGTGTCGTGTTGCTATCGTGTCACGATAAGTTATCGTGTTAATTCACGAAAACACAAATCAACCCATTAAGCGAGGGTATTTTTGTAATTTTATATTCTAAAAAATCCTTACCTTACTCACCAACCCTAGCTATCTCTCTCTTCATTCTTCATTTTCTTATGCCACCTCCTTCCCCTCCCAATTCACTCTCTTTCTTTCCTTTTTTTTTTGTTTTTTTTGCCAAACCACTCTCTTTCTTTCATTGTCAAGCTGTTTGCTTTGAACTCAAAGCTTGGAGCTTTTCTCCCATGGCTGCTTCCTCAGTCGGCAGCTTCCCCAGTTTTAACAATCCCCATTTTTTTCAGATGTATAATGTACTGTTACTAATTGATATTTTATTTTAAAATTTTAAAATATTTTTAAAAAACTGTTTATTTTTCTTATCGTGTGAATCGTGTCGTGTCGTGTGATTCGCGAATTGTAACGAGTAGTGTTCGTGTTGGGCATTTCCAACTCGTTTTCCTATCGTGTCGTGTCGTGTCAACCCGTTAAGAAAGGTGGGTTTACACGAACACTGATAACACGATACGAATGCCAGGTCTAAGTTATAGATCAAAAACCGGACAGAGGAGCAGATTATGTAATACGTTTGTGAGTGTTACACTTTCGCTATGTGAAATAAGCTCCGATGAGCAGATTATGTAATACGTTGCTTATTCAATTTATTATCTAAGTCTGTAATGTAATATTTGACTCATAAAAGTTGAGTTAATATTGACATTGTGGTTCCAAACAGTGGTGTTGTATTAAGAAAAAAGAAATTCTAGGTACTTTTGTTGAAGGTTCCGAGCTTAACGTCCCGGATTGTTGGTTTTTTATTTATTTATAAAAAAACTCAATAATTAGTTGTTGTTAAAAATTTGGGGCGTGACGTTACGGAATCAGATCGGATGGAACCAAACCAATTGTCTATTATTTTAATTTTTTTAACAAAATTATTTAAATCCAATGCTACATTTTTAATGTCATAACTAATATTTTCCCAAGCCCAGCTTCAAACATCTATCTTTTCTAGACTCAATATATCTCTTTGTACGAAATTGAATCATTTCTTAATTCTCAAGCCCAAAAAATAAAATTTTAGTTGGAATTTGTATAATAATAATAATAATAATAATTCGGTCCAAAACCATACCGAAATCAATTCAAACCAAACTGACCGGTTTCATAATTTTTTATATACTAAAATTGGACCGATTTTCGATTAAATAATACTAGTTTCAATTCCAATTTGAGGTGGAAACTGGACCAAACCAAATTGCACCCACCCCTAACTATAATTACTTTGAAATATCCTTTCTTTATTTCCAGCAATTGCCTTTTTGGAAAGAGTGATGCTCAACAAACCCTAAAATTAACTGAGTACACCTTATGACCTAAGTACATCCTAATATTTAAATCAAAATGTAAAATTAACTAAGTACAACCCTATTTAACTACCAAAAATACCCTTAATATGCCCTAATACACTATCACATCTCATTTGCCACTTCATATTTTAATTTCTTCTAAAGCTTTTGTTCTTCACATTAAAAGGAGTCAATTTGAACAAATATGGGTTTTTATTTGTTCTGCAAATTCCTTTTCTTTTCTTTTTTTTCTCATCTCAATGGGGTTTTGATTTAGTCTTCAAATAACGAATTTGTTCAAACTTGTTCGACAGCACGCCATATGGGTCTAACAGCTAAGCTACTGCAAACTTGATTCAAATGAAAACTTGAAACTAATTCCCAAATGCCTTCTTATATATTTGAACTTTAGATCTAACTAATATCTTCAATGATTGTTACGAATAGTTAGATAGTCTTCCACTTCCAGATTTGGTCTCTTAGTAATTTCTTTAACCTTCACGTCTAATGGAGGACTGTTGGTTGGCAAAGGAAGGAGCTAGGGAATGAACATTCAAGGACACGTCTTTGCACCATCGACAATCTTCTTGCATTGTTTGTCGTTAGCATCAAGTAATATGAAAACTTGTCTACGTTTGATTAATTAGGGTTGGATATGGTGAGTATGGTGTATTTATTAAAATTATATTTGTTTCACAATTCAATGTATCCTTTGTGGTAATTTTATATCAGAGTAAATTAGTAATTCAATATATAATTTGGTAATAGGGTGATTTTAGGGTTAATTTAGCAGTACTCTTTTGGAAAACATCACTTTATGATATTGAACTAACCAATGTATTTCCAACCACTACTTCGAACCTAATATCTCCCCAACTACTCGTACCTAATAATAATATCTCACCAACTACTCGAACCTAATAATAATCTCTCCCCAACTGCTCTCTCTCCAGTGCTATTCTTTTTCTCGGCTCTCTCTCACTCTCATAACTCCATTAACGCTGTCGGTGTGGCCCTGATTAATCTTCGAACAACCATGGGGTCGCCTGAGTGTGATTTATTAACAAGTCAAATTGGAACCCGATATCGATTTATTAATTATGTACCACAGCTGCAGCACAGCTGCACATGCATTCTGATCACTGTCCCAATTATATTCATTCATATAGTATTTTATTTCTCCAAATACATAAGGCGTAAGGCGTAGTAGCTATTTCATTTTATTTTACTTATATAGAATGGGTCTTGTAATTATGATTTATGGATTTACTAATATATGGCCTCTTTGGTGAGTTGAATTATGTATAGTTGGACTATTATTACATCAACACTTTGGTGAGTTGAATTATGTAGTTGGACTATTATTACATCAAGACTTTACTTCCTCGTGCATCATGAGAATTATGCTTTTTTTTTAGTTGCAATTAAGCTTAATATCACAAAACGTCCCTAAGATTTACGAAACATATCATATTTTTTTTTTTTTTTGTTTTTTTTTTTTGTCGTTGTGTTTTTAAGGTTAGTATATGTGCTCACAAATGGTCTCTACCGTTAGGTTTCGTCAAAAATTTCGTTAGTTTGCTGACGTTGCATATATATTTTTAAATATAAATTTAAAATTTAAAATTCATAAAAGACTTTATATCACAAAACGAGGTTTGAGAATCATAACATAAAATCAAATTGCGTTTTTTTTTTTTTTTTTTTTTTTTTTTTTTTTTTTTTTTTTTTTGTGTCATGGTCCTCAAGGTTAATATGTGTGCTCACAAATGGACCCTACTAAAATTTTGGTCTTTTCATTTAAATTCATAAAATTTACAAATGAAAAAAAAACAAGAATTGTATGCATTTTAGATGAAAAAACCAAGGGTTTAGGTTTTAGTGATAGAAAGCCTTCATAAAATTTAAAAATGAAAAAACCTTGGTGCATAAATTTTGGTTTTTCATTTCTAAATTTAAAAAACTCCCTTAATTTGCTCTTGTATCATATATGTGTAGTGTCACGTTTATTTAAAATACAATATGTATATACATATATTTTAAATAATTTAAATTTCATAAAATGTTGATTTTTCATTTCTAAATTTAAAAAACTCCCTTAATTTGCTCTTGTATCATATATGTGTAGTGTCACGTTTATTTAAAATACAATATGTATATACATATATTTTAAATAATTTAAAATTCATAAATGTTGATTTTTTTCATTTTTAAATTTTATGAGTTTTAAATTATTTTTTAAAAACTCTATTCGTTTATTGATATGGCATATATGTGGAGCTCACTTCTCCAATAATATAGTGTCGCGTGTACTTGAAATACAATATATATTTTAAAATAATTTAAATTCATAAATTTTAAAAAAGAACACCAAAATTGTATGAAGTTTAAATGAAAAAATCAAAAAAATTTGCAGAGATCATTTGTGATAGGTGCATGAACCTCATATATGTTTTTTGTGATATATATGTCACGTCAGCAAACTAACGGAGTTTTTTATGGAACTTAATGGCAAAAACCATTTGCGAGCATACATATTAGAGATAATCAGTGATATACTGATTCTTAGTACTAATATTATAAATAAACCCTACACCATTGAATTTCTATAAACAAACCCAAAAAAAATCCAAAAAATGGCAGCTGGCCTTATTGAATTTAATATTTATTATTAAATTACTTTGATACCCTATTTAGTGTTTTGGGTATTTTTATGAGATTTTGGGGTTGGGCTTGTTTTCAGAAATTGATGGTAATTTTGTAATTTATAACAAGTTAAAAGCCTCTTTGTTATGATGTAAATGGGCTTTGGGTGTGTTTCTAAAGTCCATTGCATATATGATATTTTTCTAATTGGGGCCCCTATATTGGGTATAATAGTGAATCTCCCTACATATTAATCTTGAGGACCACGAATAACCAACAAAAAAACAATAAGAATGCAATCTGATAGTTTCGTAAACTTTCAGAGACGTTTTGTGATATTAAACGTGATTTGTTAGTAGGTAAGCCATATCCATTTTAAATTGCCATGCTAGAAAGATGATATCTGGCAGTGTACGTACGCGTGCAACACATGCAGGAAGCCCAAAATCATTGGCCTCTCTCTCTCGTGTTATATCTATATAAATGCATGAACACAATTCCATTCCAGCAAACATAGCGAATTCAGTGCAGCTAGCCAGCTGCCTCCTCCAAACTCTCAAGTAGTTTTAACATGATGAAGTCTCAAAAGCCCAAATCCTTCTCTCTCTCACCAAAACCCTCCATTAATAGTCTGATTAGCCATGGCAGACCCTCCCTGATCAGCATCCTTCCATGCCACCCTATGCCTTTAAAACATAGTAAGAAAAAATCCTCCATGGTGATTTGTGCTGAGCACAGGCCTTCACCAGGGTCCACGGGCACTACTATTTCAACAGATCAGAATAAGGCAGTTACGATAAGGATTGTGGTTACAGTCAAGCTAACAGATAGTAGCTTCATCTCCAGCGGAAAAACCATACTTTTGGGGCTTCTTAGCTCTGAACTTCACTCTAGTAAGCCCTACCACTACTACTTACTTGCATACAAATTAACTTCATTCATACAAAAAAAAACTTGTTCTTAATTACCAGTTTCTTATATCATTTTGTTTTTTGTTCAACAAGTGAAGTTTGTGATACTTGGACTCAAGATCTCCTCTAACAAAATGGAGACTAAATGAAATTAGACAAGATCGGCTATTTCTAATCAGTTACGTATTATATAAATTATAGTTAGATTATAGTAAAATGATGAAGCACATATTATTTTTCTTGTTTTAGTTCCCTCGGATTATCTTTCACATCTAGACATGTTTCCGTGTTTGATATAAGGATGTTTTTTTGAACAAATATGTATGTGTGTGCGTGTGTGTGTTTTTTTTTTTAAAATTTAAAAATTACGCCTAAAACCCTTATTTGTCTTTTTTGTTCTTTTTTCTTGTTCTAATTTCTACCCCAACCTGCATATGTGTGTCTGTGACTCTTGTAATGACCAAAAATAAATCTTGCAGGGACGGGGTTGGAGAGGGAAACAATCAAGGTGTATGTGCATCAAAAGAGCAAAAACGATGGGGTAGTAGTATATGAGAATAATTTCACACTCCCAGCAGGTTTTGGAGAGGTTGGAGCAGTTGAGGTGGACACTGAACGCAAGGAAGAGATTAAACACAAGAAGGAGATTGAACACAAGGAGGAGATCTTCATCAAGAGCATCGAGCTCGAAAACCTCCCGAATGGCTGTGTTAATGTTCCATGCAACTCATGGGTTCATTTCAACTTTGACAACCCACAGAAGAGAATTTTTTTCACCAACAAGGTCCTTTTCCATCCATCTACTTTTCCTTAATTTAATTCTCATATAATTAATGCAAACATATACAGCCTTGTACCAACAAGGTCCTTTAGTTTGCTGAATGAACTATAATAAACTGTCCAAATTCATTAGAATATGCTATAGTTAACTTATTGGGAAAGTTTTCACAAATTTCAAGGGAGTTTCACTAAAACACCCAAAATGGAGGTTGAAATTATAAAAAAACCCAACACCCAAAACACTTTATAAACACACCCAAAACCCATCATTACACACACTCAAAACCCATTTATAAACACACCCAAAAAATTGACTTTGGGGTTGATTTTGGGTGTGTTTCTATGTTTAAATAGTGCTTGGGTTTTTTTATAAATACATGTCTAGGATTGGGTTTATTTATAAATTTCTCTCACATGTAGTAAAAAGTTAAGTTGCTGGTTTTGGCAAACTTAAAGTTTCCTATGTTATGTGATATGTTAATTTATTTAAACATTGGAGCAGTCTTACTTACCATCAAAGACACCAAGTGGATTGAAGAGGGTAAGAGAATTGGAGCTGGAAAATTTGCGTGGAAACGGACAGGGCCAAAGAAATAAGTCCGATAGGATTTACGATTATGACACATACAATGATCTTGGAGATCCTGATAGCAGCGATGAATTGGCTAGGCCTGTCCTAGGCGGCATAGAACAACCATATCCCAGGCGCTGCAGAACAGGACGACCACACACCCAAACAGGTAACAAATTTATAAGATAGTAGTACCATCTCAATCCTATCACGTAGCAAGGACATTCACACCCAAGTTCCTTTTTCTTTCTTCTAAGAATGTAGAGGGCATGTCATTGTCTGCCTAATTAGAATCACCAAAACTTTTTCAAATTTTAGTCATAAATGATACGGTACTATGTTACTAATTAGATATAAACAAGTACCATATATTTTGTTACCCCTTACTGTCAAAATTGGGAATGGTTTTTATTGTGCACAGATCCGTAGCATAACCCTTCTGATCAGTAACATCACTCTAGTGGGAAGGCATTTTGGAGTTAGCATATGTTAAAGCATGCATGTTTATGGTTGAGAAAGTACGAGAGCTATGCAATTAATTGTATCATATTGTTATGTCAATGCAGACCCATTATCAGAACAAAGAAGCAGCAGTGTGTATGTACCGAGAGATGAAGCGTTTGAAGAGGTGAAAGAAAAGACATTCTCTGCAAACACCCTGAAATCGGCGATGCATGCTTTGCTTCCTTCGATTGAGACAGGATTTGATCCACATGTAGGATTCCCATGCTTCACAACCATTGATTCACTGTTCAATGAAGGAGTCACATTCTCTAGGCCAAACACTGATTGGTCTTCTGAGACAATCTTTCCAAGGCTAGTCAAGACCTGCCTTGTTGACGGAAAGGATCTTTTGCTCTTCGAGAAACCTGAAATATTCGATCGTAGGCCTCCCTCCTTCCCTCCGTTATATATATGTACATATATGTGTGTAGATGTTCATGATATTCTTTTCAGGAAAAGAAACAACCAGATTGTGACATCGCAAGCTCTTGATTCAGCTAATCTTTCTTTTGTAGGTGATAGATTTTCTTGGTTTAGAGATGAAGAGTTTTCTCGTCAAACTCTGGCTGGTCTTAATCCATTTAGTATAGAGCTTGTTACGGTATGCTTTGCTCTATTAATTTTTTAGTAAAGTCAAACTCTTTCTATGCTTGGCTCCTTAAAATTAAGGAGGATATCTTCCTTAAAACTAATGGGCTTTTCACACTTGTCAAATTCCAGCAACATTGACAAAGTTTCAACACAAACAAAAAAAAAACAAAAAAAAAAGAATATTTATAAAAAAAAATAGACACGTGTCAAAACCACATTGGTTGTAAGGAGGAGCTCCTCCTTTTGAGGAGCCAACTAACTTTTATTTTTCCTTTTTTCACCTCCATCTTCCTTGGTGTTGAAGTAACTAGGACCCTTAACTCCTTATAAACTAAGGTTAGGTCCTTTAATTTTTCAATATGGGACAAACACTCTCAACAAGAAGCATATCCTGTTTTAGTTGGTTAATTAAACTCTCTTTCGCTTTCTTGTGGCACTAAATTATGTATTTTTCCGGATGCAGGAATGGCCATTGAAAAGTAAACTTGCCCAAGAGATTTATGGTCCACCTGAATCATTGATCACAACAGAACTAGTGGAGAAAGAGATCAAAGATTTCATGACTGTCGATGAGGTAACACAAAATTCATTTGTTTTGATTGTCCACCGCTTTCGGTATATTACAGGTGGGGAAACTGATCAGAGGTTGCTTGAAATCATGCCAATTGTGTGTGTGTGTGTGTGTGTGTGTGTGTGAGTGTATTCTTTGTTTTCTGTGAAAGAAGAATTGCTTGAACTTGAAATGCAGGCCTTGAAAACAAAGAAGATGTTTATCTTGGATTACCATGATCTCTACATGCCTTATGTGAACAAAGTAAGGGACATTGAAGGGACACCACTGTATGGTTCTCGGACACTATTCTTCCTCACTGAAGATGGGACACTGAGGCCTGTTGCCATTGAACTCACTCGACCACCGGTTGGTGACCAGTCGCAATGGAAGCAAGTGTTCACCCCAACACCGGATGCCACCGGTTGCTGGCTGTGGAGGCTTGCTAAAGCCCATGTTTGTGCTCATGATGCTGGCTATCATCAGCTTGTCAACCACTGGTAAGCAATTGGTACCCAAGATGCGCACAAATCCCTTTAAGTACATATCGTGAGTGGTCATGGGTGGTAACTTATCTGAACTTGTATATTCCACAGGCTGAGGACTCATTGTGCTACAGAGCCATACATAATTGCAGCTAATCGACAATTAAGTGCAATGCATCCTATCTATAGACTTCTGCATCCTCATTTTCGGTATACAATGAAAATCAATGCTTTTGCTAGACAAAGCCTCATCAATGCAGGTGGAATCATTGAGCGCTGCTTCTCACCTGGAAAATACTCCATTGAGCTCAGTTCTGCTGCTTATCACCAGCTCTGGAAGCTTTGAAGACTGGCAAGCTCTTTGCCAGAGATCTCATTTTCAGAAGGTATTTCAACGTGATAAAACTAATCCATAAGATTGATCCAAATTAGCTGAGGGTAGAAACACATTGGCAGGAAAAAGAAAGGTGTGTCAAAGAAAAAAAAAAAAAAATATATTCATATTAGGTTATGCCAATCATAAAGAAAAACTAATCTCCAAAGATTGATTTTCTTCATCCAAAATTGTGTTGTTGCAGGAAATTTGTGTAAGTAGAATAAGAATGAAAAGAAAAAAAAAAAAAAAAAAAAAAAAAAAAAAAAAAAAAAATAATTGCAATCTATTTGCTACCGATCTCAAAACAGAAAAACTTCATTCAACGCTATGGAAGTTCAACTACTAATTAATTTGTTTGCTTTAACTTTAGGGGAATGGCAGTTGAGGATCCTACAGCTGAGCATGGCCTGAAGCTAACAATTGAAGACTACCCATTTGCAAATGATGGTCTCATTCTTTGGGATGCCATTAAGGAGTGGGTGAGTGACTATGTGAACCACTACTATCCAGATCCAAATCTTGTTGAGTCTGATAAGGAGCTTCAAGGTTGGTGGACAGAAGTTAGAACCAAAGGCCATGCAGACAAGAAGGAAGGGTGGCTTGATTTGAGAACCCCAGACAATCTAATTCACATTCTGACAACCATAATATGGGTAACTTCTGGACATCATGCAGCAGTGAACTTTGGTCAGTATATGTATGCTGGATACTTCCCAAACCGGCCTACAATCGCCCGTACCAACATGCCAACTGGAGATCCATCTGAGGAATTTTTTAAGAAACCAGAAATGGCACTGCTGAACTGCTTCCCCTCACAGATTCAAGCAACAAAAGTGATGGCTGTCTTGGATGTGTTATCTAGTCATTCACCTGATGAGGAGTATCTTGGTGCGAAACCGGAGCCATCATGGGCTGAAAATCCTGTGATAAATGCTGCATTCAAGCGGTTTGGTGGCAATCTGAAGAAGCTTGAAGGAATAATTGATGAGAGAAATGCCAAATTGAACCTGAAAAACAGAGTTGGAGCAGGAGTTGTTCCATATGAGCTTTTGAAGCCGTTATCACAACCTGGAGTCACAGGAATGGGAGTTCCTAACAGCATCTCCATCTAAAATTTGATGATCAGTATTCCTACTTGGCCCTTAATATATAATGAATAAATAGGGCCCTTAATATATAATGAATAAATAGGGTTATTTACTTGGCCCTTAATATATAATGAATAAATATGGTTATTTACTCAAATGATGTTCAAATTTATATTCGATTTACATTGTGGTCCCTTATTTAAATTATTCGTTCACATGGTCCATCAACTCTATATTATTAGGCAAATTGGTCCTACCGTCTAATTTTATGTTAGATTTAACCAAATTTTAGAGTAAAATGACTTTTAATAATTAACAAATAAATATAGGGTTAAAATAAATACAAAGTTAGAAAAAATGGAAGAAAAAAAAATCATGAGACCCAATTCCCCCACAGACTCCCCTTCGATTTCTTCTCCCTCATTCCCCCTCAGACCCCTCCTCCCTTCTGTTTTCCCCGAGAGAGAGAGAGAGAGAGAGAGAGAGAGAGAGCAATAGGTTTAGAACACAGAAATGGGATTTAGAATTGCGTATACCCACCCAGTATTCTACTACTAGAGGGCTGATGGGAAGAGCTAAAGCTCCACCAGGTCAAATGTTGACCAAAAAGAAGAAGGAAAAAAGGGTTAGCCACAAAATTGGTATTTTGGTTTGTTTTTTTAATATGAGAGAGAGAGAGAGAGAGAGAGAGAGAGAGAGCTTTTTTTGTTGGTGTGGGAGGGCCAAGCCCCAGAAATCAACCACTCAGGAAGGTTCAAAGAAACCAACCGATTGTGAGCAATTCCTAGCAAATCATCAACAGGCTTTGAACTAATCCAAGGAGGAGCAGATTTGAGGATGCAAATAACTCCAGTCAGCTAGACTTTTCCTTGTATGTATGGATGAGAAAGCTTTTTATTTCATTTTTAGTATTTATTTGTTTTTAACATATGAAATGACCAATTTACCTTCATAGGGTAAATTACTCAAATGATCCTCAAATTTGTACGCGATTAACATTTTGGTCCCTCAATTAAATTATTAGTCCAAATGGTACATAAACTCTATATTATTCGCTCCATTGGTCCTACCGTTACATTCTGTCAATATTTTCGTTAAATATGAAGGCAAATTAGTCATTTCATCCACCAACTCTCTCTCTCTTCTTCTTCTGGGTTTCTTCTTCTTTTGCTTCTGGGTTTCTTCTTCTTCTTCCTGGTTTCTTCTTCTTTTGCTAAGGACCTGGATTGTGGGAAAAAAAGAAGCAAAAGAAGAAGAAACCAGGAAGAAGAAGAAGAAATCTCTGGCCTGTTGGAGAGCTCATGAATATGCCAAACAGACTTTATTAAAGATCAATATGATACCCATGTAAACTTGAAACAGAAGTATAGTTGAAAACTCGAACACCATATGCACACAGACACACATATTGGAGATAGAACAATTATCCAGCTGAAATTCAATGGCAACAAAGTATAGAAAGACCTTGTAGCTCACCATAACTGATAATTTTTTGAGTTAGCCTTTGCAATATCTTCAATGAAATGCCAAACCTGCACAGAAGAAAAAGACAATTTGAACACTGCACTACGAATTTTGTCCGTATTTCGCGACTACCCAACATCCCATTGATGCCAAACTACTTAGTAGAGTTATCTTTTTCAGTTTCCAGATTTTCTCATCAACCAAAGAAACAAAAATGAAAAAACCCACAAACTATGGGATTTTGAATTCTGATCAACTCCTAATGAATGACAAGATACTAAACCTCGATAAGTACCTTCCTTTCAGACTTTCCTAGTATTTATCAGCAACCAACCAAAGCATAAAAGGAAAAAGAAAAAGAAAACCTCCAACGATTTAAAATAGAAAAGAAAGTAAAAGTTTTTGGTTACTTCAAGATAGACTTTCAAGTAGAGACACTAACACTATTAATGTCAGAATACACAAAATCTCACTTTCCCAGATTTTCTGAGCAACCAAACAAAGTAATCCTTCCCTACCCCACCCAAACAAATCTCAAAAAACTGGAAAGCTGAAAAAGATGCAGAGATTGGGATTCAAAGACGAAGCTCACAGTGTAGTTTCCTGAGTTCAATTTGATGGCTTCCGTGGTGAGCTGAAGGGCACAAGGGGATCACTCATCGGCTCTGTGGAGGGCTCGAAAGTAGTTCATGGTCTCTGTGAACTCTTCCTTGTAGGCTATGGGGACGACCGGGTTCGGGCTGTCGTCTTGCTCCACCGGAACGACGTCCGACCACTCCGGTCAATTCTTCAATGGGACTCTTGTTCTTCGTCCGAGTCCATCTCTCACGCAGCTTCTTCCTTTCCTTTGAGTCGATGAAGAGAGAGAGAGAGAGAGAGAGAGAGAGAGAGAGAGAGAGATGTATCGGTGAGTCTTCTTTTGCTAAGGACCTGGATTGTAGGAAAAAAAAAAAAGCAAAAGAAGAAGAAACCAGGAAGAAGAAGAAGAAACCCAGAAGAAGAAGAGAGAGAGAGTTGGTGGATGAAATGACCAATTTGCCCTCATATTTAACGGAAATATTGACAGAATGTAACGGTATGACCAATGGAGCGAATAATATAGAGTTTATGTACCATTTGAACTAATAATTTAATTGAGGGACCAAAATGTAAATCGTGTACAAGTTTGAGGACCATTTGAGTAATTTACCCAACCTTCATATATAACGAAAATATTTACATAATATAACAGTAGGACCAATGGACCGAATAATATAAAGTTGATGGACCATTAGAACAAATAATTTAACTGAGGGACCAAAATATAAATCAAGTATAAGTTTGAGGACCATTTGAGTAAATAACCCTAAATAAATAATATGGGTTTCTTGAAAATTCTGATAATTTTTTTTTATAATAAAAATAAAATAATCATAGTACGAAAAGTACCACTGAATATTGGGAGTAGAATTGTATTTGCTCTTTGATGTTTACACTAACAGAATTTCCTCTCATATAGAATTCACTCACTTTTGTTTCCTCTCACCTCTTCCTTTCTTTCATCTCTTCTCCTTTGGTATGTTTTGTTAAGCAATGGGAAACCTATTTATAGGCAAATTGGATGGCTTCCAACACCATCATTAAGTTCCAACATCATCATTAAGCTTTTTGAATATTATTTCCTTCTTTTCTTTATGTGAGCTCCACCACTTTCTTTACAACAAAATTTCCTTTTTTCAATTCCAGTCTTGTTCCTCCAAAAAAAAAAAAAAAAAAAAAAAAAAAAAAAAAAAAACCCTAAGTAGCATTAGATTATTTGATGAGTGGAAGAAGTAAAATGTTAATGGGACTAGACTATTTATTATATGAATCCTAGGCCCAGTTTGGGATTGCTGTCACTTTTAAAAAAAGTTGCTTCTGTTGTGCTTTGAAAACAATTAGTTGTAAAGTAAAGCAGCTCCATGTTTGTTAAACAATATTTTTAAAGTGTTGTTAGTACAAAAAGCAATGTCAAAACCATTTGGTAAGTTTTAACATAAAATTGTTGTAACTGTGAATAATGACTAAAATAGACATGATGTTAAAAGCGTTATGTAATAATCATGTGGTAGTAGTGGTAGTGATGGAGTGGAGGTGGTGGTGGTAATGAAGGTGGAGTTGCTGGTTGTGGTAGTGGTGGTGGTAGGGATGGCGCTTGTGGAGGTGGTGGTAGTGACAGCATGGTGGTGGTGGTGGTGTTGGTTGTGGAGGTGGCAGCATGGTCATGGTGGTGGTGTTGATTATGGAGATGGTGGTGGATGTGGAGGTTTTGGAGGAGGTGGTGGTTGTGCTGGTAGTGGTGGTGGTGGTGGTTGTGGTGGAGGTGAAGGTGGAGTTGGTGGTGGTGGAGGAGGTGGTCGTGGTGGTGGCAGTGGTGATGGCGGTGGTTGTGGAGGTAGTGAATGTGGTGGTGTAAGTGGTGGAGTTGGATGTGGAAGTGGAGGTGGTGTTATTTTTTAAAATGAATGATGGTATTTTGGGAATTAAAAAAATTCATTAAAGGTTCATCTCTGCTTCTTTTGAAAGCAGCTTTGAAAAGCAACCCACAGCCTGCTTTTAAAAGCTGCTGTTAAAAGGCCACTGCTTTTAAAATAATCGGGATATTTTATTTTTACCAAACACCTTAAACTGCTTAACTTTAAAGTGAAGCAGATTTTTGACCAAAAAAAAGCAATCCCAAACAGGGCCCTAGTAGTTGGGTATGCTCAATGACAAGAGACATTGTTTAGATCCAGTAGACCAAGCACTACTACAAAAAAGGAAAAAGACGACGGGTATTCACCGTTGTGTATTCCGTTTTCAAATGGTCGTGGAATCCACCGACATCTTTTCCCTAACCAAACCATGACGCTAAATACTTGTCGTTGTTAAAACAAACAACGTCATCAACAAATAAAAACCAACGTCTTTATACTGCAAAAAGAGATAAAAAAAAGTCGACGATGAGAATAGACGACCAACTCTAACAAAAAATATAGTTAAAAAGGCAACATATGACATATATTAACAGAACATGGCCGCAAGATACACATACAATGACGAGAACTAAAACTCAACGCCGTTAAATAAACCTTTCACGACAAATAAAAATATGACGTCTTTAAATACATAATAGACGACGTTATTGACACCTACTACGTCACTACATTTCCAACAACCGTCGTGAAATAAATTTTCCACTTCGATTTTTCTATGAATGATGACGTGGAAATAGATGTTAGGGTCATTACTTACGACGCATGTATTTACAAAGACGACGTTGAACTACATAAACAATGTCGATTCCAAATAAATGAGAGCCGTATTACAGAATTTATACGTCATCTTTTAAAATATAATCGTTGTCTAATGACTCTGAGACGGCATCGTTTCTCATTCCACCGCCGATTTGAAAATAAACGACGTGGAAAAAATGTTGGGGTCATTAATTACGACACATTAATTTATAAAGACGACGTTGTCGTCAATATACAACGTCGTTATCATGAAAAAGACAGCCGTGTTTCATAATTTATACGTCATCATTAACAAAATTACCGTCGTCTAATTCATATTAGACGGCGTTGTTTATCCGAAATTCGCCGTTTAAAGCAATTTTAACGACATTATCATAAGAAAAGAGACGTGGATACATCAATATAACGTTGTTTTTTTAAAGGAACGACGTCCAAATATATCTTAACGTCGACAAATTTACCAATGGACTTCAAATACCGTCGTGAATTCATCCTTTTCCACTTCGTTTATGAAAGAACATGCGACGTGGTAAATTTATGACGACGTCGTTTTTGTAGTTCAGGTTAGATATCTCGTCTTTTAGACGTCGGTATTATGGGATTGGAGTCGTGTTATTTTGAATTACATGGTAGTTCTTTATGCTTCTCCGACGTGATATCCTGAATAACTGTTTCACAATAGCGTCATGGTTCTTCATTGTTACGTTGCTTTAAGACGACGGTAAATATATTGCGGTCGTTGAATGCTCCAAAACGTCATTTTTTATTAGAACAAACGTTTGTTTTTCACATTTTTATCAAGACCGTTGTGTTTGTAATCTGGAACCAGTAATTTTTGTACTGATTGTTTTGTGGCCAAAACCTGTATAATGAAAGTGAAGAAATCACATTACAATATATTACAAAATTAATGTCATACACTGCCAATTACATAAGCATCATTCAATCCATATATCTTCACACCCATCTCGAATATTTTGACTCCCTAACTCACCCACCAGTTCATCAAATGTGTCAACATTTGGCATCCCTCTAGTAAATGGCTCACACTCAATTCTCACATCACCTAAGACATCATCACCAATAACATCATTATATTCTCTATTAGGCGTTGATAATACTACCGACCAACCACGATGCATCGGGTCGTCAACAAAAAATACTTGTTTGACTTGAGAAGCCAAAACAAATTGGTCATTCCTATGTCCAATTTTACTCAAATCTACAAGGGTAAATCCAAGTTCTTCGACTACAAGACCAGAAGTACTATCTATCCAATCACACCTAAAGACTGGGATTGTAAACTTTTGGTAGTCAAGGTCCCAAATTTCTTGAATGACACCATAGAAACCCATATTTGAGAGAATTGAGTTTTTATTCTTGGCACTAGCAACTTGCATGGTATGTGCAAGTAAATAAACTCCACTATTTTGAGTTGTCCGCACATCATCTTGTGCCTTGATGTTGAATTTAATACCTTTAATAAGATAGCTCCTATATAATGGCACTGCCATGTTTGGACCAGCTGCTAGCCACCTTAAATTTTCTGATACGCCATGATTGTCTTCCTCATTAAGTTCACTTTGAACCTGCAAATTAATCATATCTTAATTCAATCTAACATAGAAAGAAGAAAATTAAAAGTCCAATATGTTATTCAATAACATATACCTTGAAGCGTAGCCATTGAATGAAAGTGCTATTGTGCTTATCCTGTAGCCACTTTGTTCTCTTTCTAAATTTTGGATAAGCGGTCTTGATGTGGATCATATGTTGCCTACATGACACGAAAAATTCAAGCATTACGGTCCCAAACATATAAGATAAACATAAGAAATAATTTAAAATGGAAACTTAAAGAATAAAACTCATACGTACTTGATATAAGGTAGGACTTCCTCCGTATTCTCCAAGACATATAGATGTGCTTGGTTCAACAGGTCCCGATCAACTATGCTCACTGTGCAACTTGATAATGGCTTTGAAACTCCCATCTTTTGGCTTGAAGGCACTCCAACTGTACTAACATAAGATAAATGCTCGGTACAAAACTCTACAGCTTCTTCAGCTATATACCGCTCAGCAATGCAACTTTTGGGACGAGTACGATTCTGAACATACCCCTTTAGCACTTTCATATATCTTTCAAATGGATACATCCATCAAAAATATACTGGCCCACATAGACGAACTTCTCTGACAAGATGTAATACTAGATGAACCATGATATCAAAAAATTAAGGGGGAAAGTACTTCTCAAGCAAACACAAAGTAACTACTACATCTTCTTCCAACTTATCTAGCTTGAAAACACCAACAATCTTTGCACATATAGCATTGAAGAAGAAGCACAAATGAGTTATTGCATACCTTGCAGGCTTCTCCAAAACAGCGAATTTCCACAGGGAGCAATTGTTGCATTAAGGTATGACAATCATGTGATTTAAGGCCAAGAAGTCTTGAATCTTGTAAAGATACAAGATTTTTTATATTTGAAGAATAACCTTCAGGGACCTTCATACCATAGAAAGAATTGCAAACCTCTCTCTTCTCTGCTCTTGACAAATTCCAAGGCCCGGGGGCAAAAGAGTACGTCTTTCTCCATACTCGGGTTGCAAATCAGTTTTGACCCTCATGTTCAATAAATCTAATCGAGCAGCAATCCCATCTTTATTTTTTCCAAGGATCTCCAGCAATGTACCAATGATACTATCGCAAACCTTCTTCTCAATGTGCATAACATCTAGGACATGCCTCACAGGAAGGTATTTCCAATACTCAAGATCAAAAAATATTGATTTCTTCTTCCAACAAACTCTGTCACCATCTTCAACCATATGCAGCACTTCTTCTCCGGTTAATGGCTCGGGAGGTATGCCATATTCAAGTTTCTCATTAAAAGCTGCACGTTGCCTCCTATATGGATGATTGATTGGTAACCATTTTCTATGCCCAATGTAACAAATTTTGTGGCCATTTTTCAACCTGTGACTAGGTGTATCATCGCCGCATATTGGACAAGCTTTATATCCTTTAACAACACAACCAGATAAGTTTCCATAGGCGAGGAAATCATTAATTGTCCACATTAATGCAGCTCTGAGTGTAAAGTATTCTCCATTATGTGCATCATACACTCCTCTAATCTCATCCCACAAAGATTTTAAATCATCAATCAAAGGCTCCAAGTAGACGTCTATATCATTTCCGGGTTGTTTAGGACCGAAAATCAATAAGGTCAACATCATGAACTTTCGTTTCATGCACAACCATGGAGGGAGATTATATGTAACTAAGATAACTGGCCAGCAACTATATCTGCAACTTAGAGAATTGTGGGGATTGAATCCATCAGATGAAAGAGCCAATCTCAAGTTTCTCGGCTCATTACCAAACTCGGGCCATTTATCATCAAGAAGTTTCCAAGACGGGGAATCCGCCGGATGAGACATCTGACCGTCAATTGGTTTTCTAGCAGCATGCCAAGTCAAACTCTTAGCTGTCTCATGTGATCGAAACATCCTTTTAAACCTTGGAATTTGAGGAAAATACCACACCACCTTTGCTGGCACACCCTCTTTCAAGATTGAATCTTTGCCTTCCTTCCACCTTGAGATACCACAAGTAAGACCATTAGTTGAATCCTCATACTCCTTCCTATACAAGATGCAATCATTGGGGCATGCGTGCATTTTCTCATAACTCAGCCCCAATGCACACAAAGTCTTTTTTGCCTCATACATAGAGGCCGGTACTGTATTTTCTTCTGGAAGCAAATCGCCTTGAAGTATCAATAATTCTGTAAAACAGACATCACTCATCCCATGTTTTGCCTTCAAATTATACAACTTCACTAATGCCGATAACTTCGTGTACTTTCTACAATCAGGGTACAATAGTTGATCTCCATCCCCAATCTCATTGGCAAACTCATAAGGATCAGATCCAAAATCACCAAAATCATTATCATCCATCTTTATTTCTTCAAACACAAAACTGTACCTACTATGGTCATCATCTTCTTCAACATTTCTACTAGCATTAGTTGTTGCTTCCCAAGGTTCTCCGTGAAATGTCCAATTCTTATAGCTTTGGTCAACTCCATTAAAGTATAAGTGATCCCTTATAATTCCAACCCCAAACAATTTCAAATTAATACATTTAACACATGGACAACGGATATGTGTTGTAGTTAGAAGATTTTCTACAGAAAAGTTCAAAAATGCTTCCACCCCTAACTCATATGCCTTTGATCTTCTATCCGAGTGCATCCATGACTTATCCATCTCCAACACTATACCCTATTATCTATAATAAAGTGAAAAGACAAGCAATGACCATCACTATAGCAGATTATATAAAGTTCTAATATCAAGTAATATACAACACAAACGACGGTTTTTAAACAAAAACAGATGTATTTGATATATATATAGACGACGGATTTTCAACAAACGTCGTCTAATTATAACCACGACGGTAGTTAAAGAACACCATCGTGTATAAGTAATACAAACGATGGTTTATGAAAAAACCGTTGTCGTATGCCTAAAAACGCGTCGATATCCCAGTTTATTTGCAAGATCCCAAAACCCTATTAAGAACACAATGTATACATGAAACCAACATATACGTGAAACCAAGCATGAAACCAACATATACATGAAACCAACATATACTAAGCATGAAAACAATAAAACCATTCCCAATTCAACATAACAGAGAGTGATTAAAAGATCCGACAAAATTAAATCCATTCCCTATTCAACATAACAGAGAGTGATCAAGAAAACATTAAACAGAAAATCCATGAACCCATACCTCCAACAACATTATTAACAAATCGCAAAACATATATCTAAAACCCTTTAACAAAACAACCTAATATCATTCAATGAATTTACAAGGGGAAGATAGGGTTTGAACTTACAGGTTGGCAGAGCTCACAGATTATGGCCTACTTGGATTCGACGGAGCCTGGAGAGCCCAACTTTGAATTAGAGATGAAGTGAGAGAGCGAAATGTTATGTTGCGCGAAATCTGAAAATTTTAGGGTACAGGGTTAGAAGTATAAAACTAAGAGCAAAATCTGAAAATTTTAGGTCGCGTGAAATTTTTTAGAAAGCGCACTCTTTAAAATATCGACGGAAAAAACAACCGTCGTTAAAAGTTCACTTTAAATATGACGCTTATTACATTAAAGACGTTGTGGTAATACTATGTGCGACGCAAAATCAAACTGAAGTTGTCAAAACTAAGAAAAACCATGGCGAAAGTTCTACCAAAACCGACGTAAATATAGTATTCCACGATGCAAACACTGAACGTAACGCCTTTTATTTTGAATAAACCACGTCGTCTATTGAACCAATAGCGTCGTTTGAATAACCTTTTACGTTTTTTTAAATCGATGACGTTGTTATTCGTGTACAACGTCATTTTCAAGGAACATAAACACCGTCGTAAAAAATATAAACATAGACTGGAGAAATAAATACCGTCGTTAAAAAAATAATACCCTAAACACTAAATTATATATATCTAAAATATAATTTTATAAAAGTGTTTATGGTTTTACAGCCTAATATATAACAAACATAAACCCTAAACCCCAAAAATTATACTTTAACTCTAAACCCTAATAAATAACAACCCTAAACCACCAAACTATAAGTGATGTTATGACTCATCAAAACAATTTTGTTTTGGCTGGTCATTTTAAATTTTTATTACTCAAACTGCATTTTTTTAAGATTTAGGGGGAAGAAAATATATCAATGACTTCATAGGAGTTGACGTTGCATTTTTTGAATTTATTTTAAATTTATTTTGAATATTTTGAATTAAAAATAATAAAATATTCTTATATCAACAAACAAACCACGTCGGGGTTAAGAAATTAACGACTTTGTAAATCATAATAAACGAATCACCTATAAAAAGGACGTCGTTTAAAAGAGAAACTATGGCGGACGTTTCACCATCCGACGTAAACTCAATATTCCACGACTCAATCACCGTCGTTAAAAAGTAATACCCTAAATTATATATTTTTTAAATATAATTTTATAAAAGGGTTTATGGTTTTACAGCCTAATATATAACAAACATAAAGCGTAAACCCCAAAAATTATCCTTTAACCCTAAACCCTAATAAATAACAACCTTAAGCCCTAAACCCTAAACCTTAAACCTCAAACTATAGGTGATGTTATTACTCATGAAAAAAATTTATTTTTGGGTGGTCATTTTAAAATTGTATTACTCAAACCGAATTTTTTTAAGTTTTAGGGGGAAGAAAATATATCAATGACTTCATAGGAGTTGACGTTGTATTTTTTTGATCTATTTTAAATTTATTTTGAATATTTTGAATGAAATAGAATAAAATATTCCTACAAACACAACAAACCCCGTCGACTTTAAGAAAGTAACGACGTTGTAAATATAATAAATGATTTACTTGTTCAAATGACGTCGTTTAAAAGCGAAACCATTTTCGAAATTTTCACTAAAACGACGTCCCATGGACATACAAATGGTATATCACGACTTAAACAAAAAAGGTGTCGCCGTGTAATTTAATTACCACGTCATATCTGTCATCTAAATATCCTTTTACGTCGGTTTTTGACATAATTATGTCGTTGAAAAGTTATTACACATCGGTTATGTTTTTTTTTTTTTTTTTTTTTTTAAGAAAACCTCAACAAATTTTCAGGGAAAAAAAGGATGTATATTATAGACAAAATTTGTACATTATATATTATAGACAAAATGTGTACATTATATAAAAATATCAAGTGTTCCAAAAATCCTCTACTCCATATGAAGGCAAACAAACTCTGCCCATTCATTCCGGACTTCATCAATGGCTTCTTGGGGGTATGGCGCTTGCTCTTTTCCCTTAGCAAACTACAATCCATAAACAATGATTATTAAGCTTTATAAATAAAAAGAATTTCAATCACAGACGACGCTATTTTTCATAACCGACGTAGTATATCGATTCAACGACGATAATTTTAAAGGACCGTCGTTGATAATACAAAAAACCACATAAAATGTATCTAAAAAATTTCTTCTTACCTTCTTCTCAAACTCCAAGGAAGGATCCATGATGATGTCCCTCATGAAGCGCATCACATAATACCCGCATTCGACACTGCTGGGTTGCTTTGGTGTGCCTAGCAGAGTTTTCCAAATTGGTGCTTTACGGCCTTGTCTGCCTATGTGGGAATTATAAATTTTTATAGCACTGTTCACGATGTTTTTGGCCTCCTCATCAACCACATGATTTCCGAGCAGAGGATCCAGAAAATAGACGGTTTCCTTCTTTGCTCTCACAATCAGCAAGACCCAATGACGGCTGCACAAAATTAATATAAAAAATGACGGTTAATATAAAAAGTCAGCACAATAAAACACACAACGGTTATTTATAAAAAACGACATATTATACAGTTTCACACGACGAAATAACGTAGCAATCGACGTCATTATAAATTTATCACAACGGTAAATAACTAACGACATGGTTAGTAGTTTCAAACGACTCAACAAATAAAGCACCGACGTGGTTAGATGTTTCAAACGGCACAAAATTATTTAAACAGTTTTATACGCAGTCAGTTAGTGAAAATCATACAAACAAAATCCTGTTAAGGAGACTAACCCTGGATTGTAAGGCATCATGAAAATCTGTTCACCATCTGTCTTCTGAAGTCGACTTGCTACCAATCGTGATCTGTCAGTTAGTGACCCAACGTTGGCACTAACTTGAGCAGGGTCGATAAAGCCAACCATGCTGCACATATTTGCTTCTTTCAAACGATCATATAAGCACCTAAATATATAAAACAAAGATATATAAAAAAGTCAGCACAAAAAATCAAACGACGGTTATTTATAAACAAACGATGTGTTATACAATTTCACACGATGAACTGAAATAGAAACCGACGTTATAATTAATTTATCACGACGGTACAAAACTAACGACGTGGTTAGTGGTTTCAAACGACGCAATAAATAAACCACCGACGTCTTATGCTATAATGATTTTTTTTTTCAAACACAAATTTGAGTGTGAAATAAATATTTGATGAGGACAAACCTCATATATACTGCAACCACAGCAGCCCCAATTTCTTCCATGCCTGCTAACTGTGTAATATCTTCAGGCAAGACGAAGGTACTGCGATCTGCACCAAACACCTCCTTCTCAATTGTAAAGGTCATGATCTTCTCCTGAGGCGTTAGTGTCGTGTTGAATAATTTATTACGTCATAGGAAACAAATTCCGACGTCTAATTTGAAAACAAACGATGGTTTAAAGAAAAATATTGACGTCTGAAATTTGAAAAACAAATAAAAAAGGCAAAGTTATGAGAATATACCATTTCGTCATGCTTTTCTTCATCTTCTTTTTTTTCTTTCTACTTTTCATCTTGTTTTTCGTCATGGCCTCTAAAGCCTGAACAATCGAATCAGTAGTTGCTGGGAGATATGATGAAGACATTGTCAATGCTTTGAACTATCCAAGTCCTGCAGAAAGAGAACGGACCAAACTATTAAAGAAATTGAAACAACGACGGTTTTCTGTTCTACCATCGTCTTTTTTGTCGTCGTAGTATATTAAAGTAAGATGGCAATAGGTTTATAATTACCGATGTAGATTATCTTGTTAAACGTCGTTAAGCGTAATATAACCAACGTGGATTTTATTTTTAATTATAAATAGAGTTTTTTTTCCCGAGTTCTTTCAGTTTTAGTTTTCAATTATAGTGCGTTATAAATAGAGTTTTTTTTCCCGAGGAAATTTAAAATGACAGAAATTAATGTTCTAGAATTTGTAAAGTTTCTTGTTTGGGACAACGACGGTTTTTTGTTCTACCGTCGTTTTTTTTAACTAAGACAACGCAATATTTTTTTCGCGACGTGGATTCGTTTTGTTAAACGTCGTTAGGTGTAATATAACCGACGTGGATTTGATTTTTTTTAATTATAAATATACTTTTTTTCCCGTGTTCTTTCAGTTTATTTTTCAATTACAGTGCGTTATAAATAGAGTTTTTTTTCCCTATGAAATTTAAAATGAAGGAAATTAATGTTCTAGAATTTGTAAAGTTTCTTTTTTGGGTGACTGATTTAAATCAAATACGAATATAAAAACAACGACTGTTTTTTTGTCCTACCGTCGTCTTTTTTTGTCGTCTTAAGTAAGACTAAGACGACGCAATGTATTTGTTCCGCGATGTGGATTCTTTTTGTTAAACGTCGTTAGGTGTAATATAACCGACGTGGATTTTATTTTTTAATTATAAATAGAGTTTTTTTCACGGGTTCTTTCAGTTTTAGGGTTTCAACTTCTTCTTGCCTCTTTCTCTGTCTCACCTCACCTCTTAGGAGGCAATTGTTTGAATGTTGGTGTGTGTGTGTGTGTTTGTGTATCTTATTCACAAACATACACACATCACCAATTTTCAAAAAATTGTCTCTCTGATTGCAAATCTGTGGCTGCCGTCGTGAAATTTTAGGAGGCAATTGTTTGGATGTTGATGTGTGTGTGCGTTTGTGTAGATACACAAACGCACACACATCATCAACTTCCAAAAAATTGTCTCTCTGATTGCAAATCTGAGGCTGCTGTCGTCAAATTTCAGAGGCAATTTTTTAGATGTTAATGTGTATGTGTATTTGTGTATCTCAAAGACACAAATATTGTCTTTCTGGTAAGATTATGATGAGGAACAGAGTTCCATCTTGTAAGATTTCGTAACCCTTGAGATCTCAGACAAATCTGATTATGTCGGCGGTTTTCTATATAAACCGTCGTGGTTATTTCAATTCTTGTCATTAAGTAGATCTACTGACGTAGGATAACAAAATCCAAGAAATAAATTGTTAAAAAAAATTCTTCTTAAGACGACGGTTTAAATATAAGGTATGACGTATAAAGTGAATAAATACGACGTTAAATTTTACAATACGTCGTTAAATGAAAAACCCCAACGTGGTGAGATTTAAAGATACCGTCGTAGAACTATACAAGAAAGATGTCGATATATTTATCTTTGCCGTATTTGTACATTAATTTAATACGGCGGTATTTTGTATTATACCGCCGTTGATTTATTTGTAATTATACGGCGCCTTATACGAAAACTTGGTCGTGTTAATTTCTGCGTAAAAACGGCGGCTTTTTTTGAAATCGTCATCTTTACTTTCTACCACTGGCGGATCTGTGCAGGCGCAAGGAGGTGCACCTGCACCTCCGGTCGCCGGAAATCTCCATTAGAGGTGCTGGAGTTGCACCTCTGCTTCAGACTAGGGACGCACAGAAGGTGTTCGAGGAAATGCCCAAGCAACTGGGCGCTGCCTGCGCAGCTGCTGTGCGCGCTGCGCGCAGCGCGCACATGTTTTTTTTTAAACCAAGCCTGGCGAAAACGACGTCGTTTTGGACCAGGCTGTTTAAAACACGCCGCTTTTTTTTTTTTTTTTTTTTTTTTTTTTCAAACTGGCCAAAACGACGTCGTTTTGTACCAGGGTTTTTAAATAATAAAAAAAAGTAAAAAAACAGAAACTGATGTTGAAATGTGGGCTTTTCAAATGGTTTATTTCCTTACTTAATTGGGTTTTAATTGAGAGTTCTTTTTATCTAATTGGGTTTTGGGAATTCCTTAATTAAGTAGGATTAGGAATTCTCTCTATAAAAGACCAATTTAACATCACCCAATTTCATCAAAGTGTGCGTGCATCATAAGAATCCTGCGTTTTTTTTCCTTCTTGAGTAGGCCAATCCAAAGTAAGTTGAATGCATTTTTTTTTCTTTGAGCAAACTCCAATTTTGTTTATTCTTTTTTAATATATTTTTTTTGTGTGGTTATTTAGCTCTCTCTGTATTAGTAAGATCAGTAGCAAACTCGAGTGAATACCAGGCTACGGACACGTTATTCGAGGTATAATTAATTTTTATTTATTTATTTATTTGATAATTTGATATTTATTTATTTATTTATTTGATAAATTATAGTCAATTAGTCATAGTAATATATATAAAACCCTTATTTTGTTTTGATTGTACAGTTATGGAACGGTACTTTCAGAGAAAGAGTTTAAATCCTCCTTCAAATAATCCGAGTAGTTCAAATCCTCCTTCAAATAATCCGGCTAGTTCAAACCCTCCTTCAAATAATCCGGCTAGTTCAAATCAACCTTCAAATAATCCGCCTACTTCACATCCTCCCTTGAATAATTCAGGTAGTCCAAAACGATCGGAGGTCACTGAGTTGGATGAAATATTGGCTAATCTTCCTGCAGACCCTGGACTTAGACCTCCAATGACTTATTATAATCCCAATTTTCGAGAACAAATTCGAAAATCCTATCTGCCAAAACGACATGCCTCAAACACTTATGGGGGAGAGTAATCGACGTTTTCTTGTGAAATGGTTTGATTCATTTGTTTGGTTGGAGTATAGTAAAGAGAAAGATGCTGCATTTTGTTTTCATTGTTATCTTTTTAAATGCGACTTTGATAAACAAGGAAAGGCTGGAAGCGATGTCTTCACTAAGAAAGGGTTTAAAAATTGGTGGAAGAGACCCGAGAATTTTAGGGACCATGTTGGACAAGTTGGAAGTCTTCACAATAAAGTTACACAACATTGTACATATTTAATGAATCAGAAGCAACACGTTGAAACCATTGTGATCAAGCAGACAGACCAAGCTCGTGTTAATTATCGCATTCTATTAATTGCCGCACTTGATTGCACTAGATATTTATTGTGACAAGGTCTTCCTTTTCGTGGCCATGATGAAAGCGAAACATCTAGCAATAGAGGTAATTATGTGGAGCTTTTGCAATTTCTTGTCGATCATGATGAGAAAGTTCGTGCCGTTGTGTTTGAGAACGCTCCAAGGAATCTCAAGTATATTGCTCCTAACATTCAAAAAGAACTTGTCAGCTCTTGTGCCACTGAAACCATTGATGCAATTATTAGTGATATGGGTGATGCATTCTTTTCTATATTGGTAGATGAATCACGTGATGTTTCAATAAGAGAGCAAATGGCGGTGGTGTTGCGTTATGTGAACAAAAAAGGGCAAGTAATTGAAAGGTTTGTAGGTGTCCAATATGTCTCTGATACGACTAGTAGCAAATTGAAAGAGGCAATTGAGCAGTTGATTTCTTCAACAAATTTGAGCATGTCCAGGCTACGAGGACAGGGGTATGATGGCGCTAGTAATATGAGAGGTGAGCTCAATGGTCTTAAAACACAGATTTTGAGAGAATATCCTCAAGCATATTATGTCCATTGTTTTGCACATCAACCACAACTAGCTCTTGTAGCCGTAGCAAAGGGAAATGAAAACATTGCTACTTTCTTCACAACGGCTAGTAGTGTCGTTAATATTATTGGAGCATCGTGTAAGCGTCGTGATGCACTTAGAGAGCAACAACAAAAAGATATTATGAAAGCTCTTGAAATTGATGATCTTGAAATGGGGCGAGGGTTAAATCAAGAGACTACTCTCAAGCGTCCTTGTGATACACGTTGGAACTCACATTATGATACTTTACTTAGTATTAATACTATGTTTCATCCAGTGGTGAAGGTGCTTGAATGGATTGTTGATGATGTCAACCAAGATAATTTAGGTGAAGCAAATAGGTTGTTGAAAGAAATACAAACTGTTGACTTTGTGTTTCACTTATATTTGATGAGATTTATATTGGGAATCACAAATGATTTGTCAAAGGCATTACAAAAGAAAGATCAAGATATTGTGAATGCGATGATGTTGGTCCAAAGATGTAAGCAAAAGCTACAATCTGTGAGGGATGATGACTTTGATGATTTGCTTGGCCAAGTATTAATGTTTTGTGGCAAAAATGATATTGACGTTCCTAACATGGATGATTTATTTGTACCACAAGGGAGATCAAGACGTAAAGCTCAGAAAATCACAAACCGCCATTATTATCGTGTGGACCTATTTCTTACTATCATTGATAAGCAACTAGTGGAATTGAATAATCGCTTCACTTAGGTAAATACTGAATTGCTTCTTTGTATGGCATGTTTGAGTCCGGCTTATAATTTTGCAGCTTTTGACAAACAAAAAATACCCGTTGCAACTGCTTCGGTTGAGAGAGCTTTTTCAGCTATGAATATTGTGAAAACACCATTGCGTAACAAAATGGGGAATCAATGGTTGAGTGATAGGTTGGTTGTTTACATTGAGAAATATGTTTTTTCTTGTATTAGTAATGCAAATATAATGCGACGTTTTCATGATATGAAACCTCGTCGGCAACAATTGTAGGTTAATTGTAATGTTATTTTTTTAATTAATTATGAATAACATTAGTATTGTTTAAATGATAAAGATGTTTAGTTGTCCTTTTCTTTTCTTTTTCTTTTTCTTTTTTGAGCTCTTAGCTTTTAAAAATTGCACCTCCGCTGAAAAATTCCTGGATCCGCCACTGCTTTCTACGTCGATCGATTCATAACTTCTGCATTTCTTTGTTGGCTTTGATTTTACTATGCGGAAATCCTATTCCAATAAGACGTCGGGTTTTTAATTAGGTACGTCGTGTTTTAGTAACAGCCATTTGAATCTCCATTTTTTAGGTGTCTAAGGTGTTATTACACGACGGTTTTATAGAACCGTCGTCTTTTAAAAAACAACAACGGTTTTCACTTAGACCGTCGTTTTTTTTCTGGTCGTCTTTGTCACTTTTTGTAGTAGTGAAGGGACTAGATCGAAGTCATGAATTGTGTTCAGTGTAGGGATGGCAATGGGCCGAGTATGTCAATACCATTCCTGCCTCAGTCCCCATTTAATAGGATTTGGGGAATCTCCGCTCCTTTCCCTTCGAGGGTTATCCCCCATATCCCCGACCCGACTCCCCAATCTTTTCAATAAAAAGATAACAATATAACCAAATCAACAGCATCTCTAAAACCCAGGTATTAAAATTTCTCACAAAATAATATCCAAAAAAAATATTTTTGTTGAAAAAGATTGGGAAATTGAAATAAATTAACCTATCCCATCCAACAAATGATCAGATAAACATAGAAAAAACAATTTACAAAGTGAAAGTGTGCAAAAGCTTGCACAGAGAAGCCACATCTTATTTGTCAAGGGTTTTCTCATAACCTTGTGGTGAAGAACCAGCTGAAGAATAAGAATAAGAAGAAAAATGAAAAGAAGAAGAAGAAGTGAGGATAATGATGGAAGAAGAAACAAATATAAGAGAGAGAGAGAGAGAGAGAGAGAGAGAGAGAGAGAGAGAGAGAGAGGTGATGGGTGACGGCTCTCAAGTAAGGCCATCTCCAGCCATGGGCTAAACAAAATTTTGGCCAAATTTGGAGGGCCACATTTGGCCCTATAGCCCTCCAACCAGGCCACATGTAGCACAGCTTTGGCCTAGGCCAAATTTTTTGTGGGCCCCATACATGTATTTGGTCATGGCCGTTACAGGTCAGACCATTGAAAACCAATCTTTTTCTTTATTTTTAATTGTGGTCACCTTTTTAAATGTCAATTCATGTAATTAAGAAAAAAATTATAAAAAATTATTGGTCATGTCCGTTGGAGGTTAGACCATTGAAACCCATCATTTAAAAAACAAAAAATTACATGTGGTCACCTTTTTAAATGTTTTCAAGTGTTGTTTTAAAAAAATATATAATTAAATTAAACAATATATAGTTGTAGAATGTATGAGTATTGTATCATAGTTTTTCTCAAAATAATAAAATACGAAGGACTCTAAAATATAGCCCTGCATGGCTGGAGATGGAAAAATTTAACCCTGCACTATTCTTTAAAAAATTAATATTTTGGAGGGATAAATTTTGATCCATGGAGTACTACATTTAGCCCTATGAAAGGAGATGGACTAAAGCTCTCTATTTTTTAAAACTAAGACTAAGGTTAGGTTCATTGACCAAAAAAATAAAGGGTTTGTTGTATAATTCTTTTTTTGCTCGAGTGGAAAGTATTAAATAGTTTGATTGATTCATACTTACACAAAAATTCCACAAGATTCGAGAACTCATTTTGAATGGTGATGTATACATTCTAAAGGTTGCACCTGCAGACAACGTAGCATATCTACTCACTAAGCCTATGTCACAGTCACAACTGGATAGACATACAGAGAAAATGGGTATTAGATACATGGTTAAATGGCTCTGGTGCAAGTGGGAGATTGTTAGAAATGTGCCCTAAGAGCCAATACATTTGATGTAATCACTACTACATTTTACTATCACTACTACAAAAATCGAAACAGACGACAGGAAACCACCGTCGTCTAGAAGGTTTTCAAACAGACGTGAAATTGACCGCCATCTTTTGTACATCCAACAACGACGGTTATTAACCGACGTTGTTAACACATTCAACGTCCAAAACTATTCCGAACCGACGTGTAATACTATATATACAACCTAAAATGAAACCTTCGACAACATTAGACGAAGGTTTTATGAAAACTGAGCTGTCTAAAGAGTGTTACATGTCAAGATCAAAACAAGAATCGACGAACAAATAATTATCCACGCCCCTAATTGAAGGAAAACATACTTGGATAACCTAGAAACCATCGTGGTTATGTTATACTACATTAAATAAAAACGAAACCAACGTCTAAAATATAAAGGATGACGCGCACACAAACCACCAGTCGTTTAAAGCATATTATATCTCAATTGCCGCTCAGTAACCGCCGTAAAATGACTTAACCACGTCAGGCATTTGGCAGAACCGATGGGTAAGAGAGTATCTATGTCGCAGAGTAGGAGAACAATGATGTGTTAACAAATTTCGACATCTGTTTTTTTTGCGAGAATCTTCATTTAAATTACACAAAGAAGCCCCTTTGACAAAGTTAGACGTCGCTTTTTCTGCAAAACCGACGTCTGACAGGTTTAAAATGACACAAGATTACTTAATAACAACGTAACAAGGCCTACCCATGAAAATTGTTGTCAAAGGTCGACGTTACAAAAAATATTGAAGGCGTGGACAAGAAAAGAACCGACGTGGATTATATTTTCAACGTTGAAGGCTTTAAAATAATGGACGTGGTTAAACATTTTACTACATCACGAGGATCCAAATGTGTGATGTTGTAATCACTTACCACTTCGGTTTTGAATACATGATGATGTGGTTGTTCTTTTAAAAGTCGCTTGTTTAACCCTCCTTGACATGTGTATTCTTTGAGACGTTCGTTGCTTTAGACTAACCAACGTGCAGAAAATCTGTCACTAAAGTTAATGGAACTGAGCTGCCTTTATTTCCAACTTTAGACGACGGTAGGTTTTAAGAGTGGAAGTAGTGTTTAACAAATCGTCGGTTGGAGAACTCCACCATCGTGTGATTCCAGAATATACGATGGTCTTTGTTTTGTAGCCAGCCGATGAAGTTTATAACTTATCAATAAACCGATGTGTTTTCAATTTCAGATGGCGGTGTTTTTGTTTACGGTCTTTTGTATGTTCTTTTCACGACGTTTTTGGAAACCCGATGTGCATCACTTCTTCTCCGGTTAATGGCTCGGGAGGTGTGCCATATTCAGGTTTCCCATTAAAAGCTGCACGCTACCTCCGATATGGATGATTGATTGGTAATCATTTTCTATGCCCAATGTAACAAACTTTGTGGCCATTTTTCAACCTGTGACTAGGTGTATCATCGCCGCATATTGGATCAGCTTTACACTACAAAAAAAAAGGTTCATTACCGACCAACTTTTTCCAGGGCCCCCAAATTCCCTCGGCAAAAGTGTTTTTTCCGATGAAAAATTGTTGTCCGTTGGAAATATGTCATGGGGCTGGAATTTATTTCTGACAAAGGAACTTCCTTCGAAAAAAGTCTTTATGGTCGTCGGAAATGTAATTTATTTGGCGGGAAAACTTGGCGCCAACTTTATTAATGACAAAAACTTTGTTTGTCGGAAATGAGATGATTATTTCCGAGGGGCTTCTCATGCCGTTGGAATTGTTTGATTATTTCCGAGGAGAAATATGTTTGCTTGGTAATGCCATTATATTTACGAGGGGAATTAGCTGTCGTCGAAAATGACTATCTTAAAATGGGTAAATTACTCAAATGGTCCTCAAATTTGTACGCGATTTACATTTTGGTCCCTATATTAAATTATTAGTCCAAATGGTACATAAACTCTATTTTAATCGCCCATTTGATCCAACCGTTACATTTTCTGTTAAATGTAACCAAATTTTAGGGGCAAATACGACTTTTCATAATTAACAAATAAAATAGGGTTAAAATAAATACAAAATTAGAAAATAATTGAAGAAAAAGAGAAAAAAAAACATGAGACCCAAACCCCCTCCCTTCGATTTCTTCTCCCCAATTCCCTACAGACCTCTCCAATTACTATGTTTGTAAAAATAAAATAAAAAGATGGTTTGTCAATGGCCTTCAACCATCCAGTCCAACAATCAATGTCCAAAATAATACTAACAAAGGTTGCTGAGGAAAGCTCCTGAGGAGGTGGGCAATGGCGAAAATGGTGGGAGTGTTGGCCTTGGTATTGATGGCATAAATCCCCAAAACCCTCGCAGTAATTTCAGCGTCTTGGCTGAAGAACCGGTACTTGTACTAGGAGGGTGAGAAATTGACAGTGGCTATGATTTTGGGAGGTGGGGTTGGCGGGTGATGAGGTGGGGAGAAGGGTGGTGGGTGGTTGTCTCTTAACAACAAAGGGAAATCAAGGGGGAGGGGGAGAGGGTTTGGGTGGTTGTTGAGTTGGGGTTCTAGGTTAGTTGGGAGGGGGTTTGTGGAAGATTTTTTTTCTTTTCTTTTTCTGTAGTTGCTGGCTTAGGTGGAGGGTGGGGAGGAGATTGGGTTTTAGGTTCATGGGGCCTAGGATGGAGGGTGGTTGTTGGATGGGTTTGGGTGGAGAGTGGTTGTGGGATGGGTTTGGGGGTTGGAGCTTGAGGGTGGTGGCCATGAGGGAATGGAGAGAGAGAGAGAGAGAGAGAGAGAGAGAGAGAGAGAGAGCCCGCTAAAACATGAAACGAAATGGAGACTTCAACACACAAACAAGGGGTTTTGAACCCGTGCCACTTTCATTCCTTTCCAACACCTTATCCACTATGCTACATACAAGTTTGTGATTATATGCTATACTATGTGATATTTATAATGTTTCTACAAGTTGTTTTTAAAAAAAAGTAGAATTTCACAAGTCTTTTCTTTCTTTCTTTCTTTCTGTTTTTTTTCTTCTTCTAATTAAGTGGTCGAGGTAGAAAGCCATAAAAAATGGGTGTGTAGCTCGAGGTGGAAAGCTAGAAAACACAAAGCGGAAATCACAAAGTTTTAAAACACCTACTTTTGTTATATGAAAATAGACATCTCAATGAACCTTTGAAAACTTGTTTCATGTAAATCAGAGTTAAATTGAATTTATGGTAACTTTTCAAAATTAGTGTTATGCTGTAGAAAAACATAAAAGTCTGTGACTTAGTCTGTTTCGAATTCAATGTTTGACATGATTCCTTAACGTCAAATTGAATGAATTTTTTATATGATGAAGTTCTATAAGTCTAGTTATGATCTGGAAAGTTTTACATTGTTTTGAATTAAACTGAACGTTTAGTTAGCAACACCGAGTGGTGAGTGATGCCACGGCACTGAGCGTGCAAAGTGCGGCATCTATCGCAAGTGTGGGGCATCGCCTCATTGGGAAATCCCATGAAGTACAGGTGCTAAGAGGTCAGTTGGTTGCAAAGCGGAATTTGTTGAAGATTGGCAGCGTGTTATAAGGAGTTTGAAGAAGGAGAGAGCAAAGACAGCGGAGACGAATCGACATCATCTTGAAATATTGCAGGAAGAGAATCAAAAGCTATTAAAGATGGTAGATTTTGTTGTTGTTGTTGTTGTTGTTTTAAATGAATGTATGTAGTCCCCTATTTTCTCCTTTTTTTTAATGTGAAATAAATATATATTTTTTGTTATTTTGTTATTTTAAATTTTTAAATTTTTTATTAGTGTATTTTTCTGATTTAAATTTATTTATTATATTTTTTTGAATTTGGGAATTGGTGAGGGGAAGAACTCTTCCATTTTTCATTGACCGCCAAATAACTCCAGCCAAAACCAAATTTCCCCATTCTTCTCCAGCCAAAGTGAAAAATGGGCAATTTCGAAAACCTAGCAGCCGCCTCCAACACTCACTACCCCTCTGCGTTTCTCTCTCATCTCATCCATGTTCGTCTGCCTCTCACTGCTTCTGTCTCTCTCTCACGATCTCACCCTCTCCGTCTCTCTCACGATCTCACCTCTTTCTCAATTAGTTAGATTTCAGTTCTCTTTTTCAAGGAACGATCTCACCTCGCATCTTCTGCCACCTGCTTCTCTCTCTCTCTCTCTCTCTCTCTCTCTCTCAACCTCATCTTCTTCTCCGCATCTTCATCTGCCTCTCTGTCTCTGTCTCTCTCGCACGATCTCACCCTCTCCGTCTCTCTCACGATCTCACCTCTGTCTCAATTAGTTAGATTTCAGTTCTTTTTTCATGTCTCTGGCTTTTCTTTTGGGGTATAAATTATCATGTGGGTTTTAGGTATTTCGAAATTGTCTTTCGATTTTCAAGGCATGTGGTGTTTCCTTTTGAATCTAACGATAAATTGAATTTGTGCAGGTGTTTTCTATGGCTCAAGGGAACAACAATTGGATTTTGGGTTAATTGATTTCTAGGTATGTTCTTCTTTTCCAGATTGGTAGTATTTGGTTGACCTTCATTAGGAAAAATACATCTGTATTTATTTCCCCTTCTCTGTTGGCCTGGGTTGCTGTTCTGTTTTCCTGGGGCTGTTTGTTGCTCTTGGCAAAGGTTTGGTTTCATGTATTCCTCTTATTTGTGTTCTCAGATTTGGTGAACATATGTAATTAGCTTTTATATGCCAATCACTTTGTGCTCCATTTCTTGAACTATGCTGCCACTGTGTTGCAAATGTTAAACTGCTTCTTTGTGCGTAACTTGTAGAGGAACTGAATTTAGCATTCAAATCTTAAACTTGCCTATGCCATTGAAATGTTATTAGTTGGATTTGATAGACTTTGCTTAGGTTATCACGCTCAATGACTTTAATTCTTCATCATTCTCTTAAGGCCTGTGTATTGTTTGTTATCTGGGTATTGGCTTAATATTTGTAGAACATAGCTTCTTGAGCTCTTTTAGTTTCTGGTAATTTGGGTATAAGGTTTGTATCACCCAATTAACATGAAAATCCTTTCTTTCAAAGTACTGAAGCAGTCTTACATACCATCAGAGACACCAAGTGGGTTGAAGAGGATAAGAGAAATGGAGCTGGAAAATTTGCGAGGAAATGGGGAGGGTGAAAGAAAACCATTCGATAGGATTTACGACTATGACACCTATAATGATCTTGGAGATCCAGATAGCAACGATGAACTGGCTAGGCCTGTCCTTGGCAGCAAACAACATCCATACCCTCCGCATTGCAGAACAAGACGACCACGCTCCAAAAGGGGTAACCAATTAATTAATAGACTAGCTAGCAAATCTCCCAATTTTTTGTAAAAATTACTCAAAACTAGAACAAAAACTCGATTGTCTAGTTAAAATAAGTCACGTGCTACAAATCTTTATTTGTAGTTCTGATTTTGTAATGCATTAGTTAAATGATCTTGAAAAAGATGTGGAGATAACAGAAATGAAGTTTTCTCTCACAGGGAGAAGCGGGTGGCCGGAGCCGTATGTGTGGATGGCCGGAGCCATAAGAGAGAGAGAGCCAAGAGTGCTTTTTGCTTTTAGGGTTTTAGGCTCCGTTTTTTTTTTTTTTTTTTTTCATTCACCTTTTAAGCAATTTAAGGTGTTTGGTAAAAGTAAATGTCTCGATTATTTTAAAAGCAATGACCTTTTGACAATAGCTTTTAAAAGCAGGCTTTAAGCTACTTTTCAAAGTTGCTTTTAAAAGAAGTAGAGATGAGCCTTTAATGAATTTTTTTAATTCCCAAAATACCATTATTAAGTTTTTTTAAATGATACCACCTCCATCTCCACATCCAACTCCACTGCTGCCACCACCGCCACCACAACCACCACCATCTCCAACACTATTGCCACTGCCACCACTGCCTCCTCCTCAACCTTTGCCAAGTCCTCCTCAATCACCACCATCACCTTTACCTTCATCTCTTTCACCACTACCACTACCATCACATGATTAGCGCATAACACTTTCAACATCATGTCTATTTTACTCATTATTCATAATTACAATAATTTTATATTAAAATTTACCAAACGGTTTTGACACTACTTTTTGTATTAACAACACTTTAAAAATATTGTTTATCAAACATAGAGTTTCTTTATTTACAAATTTATAAATAAACCCAATCTTAAACATGTATTTATAAAAAAACCCAAGCACTATTTAAACATAGAAACACACCCAAAATCAACAATTTTATATTTTTTGGGTGTGTTTATAAATGGGTTTTGAGTGTGTGCAATGATGGGTTTTGGGTGTGTTTATAAAGTGTTTTGGGTGTTGGGTTTTTTTATAATTTCAGCCCCCATTTTGGGTGTTTTAGTGAAACTCTCTTCTTTATTTTACAGCTAATTATTTTCAAATCAGAGCATAAGCAACTTTTTTTTAAAGTGACAAGAATCCCAAACTAGCCCTTAGAATTACCTTTTGTGTGTTGTGTAACCATGTATTTATAAACTATTTTTAAGGCTAGGGTTTGAAGAATCTTTATTTGGTTAGGATTATTCTTACCCATAATAGGAGATTGGAATTAATCAAGGAGATTTGATGGAAATCTCATCCTTGATTTGGAGAGATATTCTCATCTTAAATCAAAAATAATTTCCCTAATTAAATAAGATTTAATTAGGGTAATGAGTTGACCTAAGGAATATTCATTTTCCACTTGCCGCCTATCTATTTGTTGCCGAAATATGTGTTCCCACAGGTTCTTATATTATAAACTAAATAACAAAATATATATTTTGAAAAATACGAGGTTTCATAGACAACTTAAATGAACAAGCCCAATAAGCAAGAGAAATTCAGCCATAGAGGGAGAGGAATGGGTTTGACCCACTTGATGACTCACATAGGTCATTTTAAGTGATATGGGTCGTGGGTAACCCAACTTGAACTGCCAAGCCTATAAATGAATAATGATGGGCATCATATTCTCTAGGGTTTTGGATGATGAGAGGAGAATGAGGCAATACCATGCCATCCCTCCCCTCCACTATGGCCGGCCACCACAATGGGTGGTGCTAGCACCTCCATCTCCTTGTGATTCTAGTGGTGAAGTCAGGATTTTATGTATGTGGAGGCATCTCACAAAATATAAATAATAAAAAATTCAAACTCAAGACATACCAAAACATCAAAAATAATATTGTCTATTCATTACAATCATAATTTTGACCCAAAAAAAAATCATTACAATTCATAATTGTCCTTGACAAGTTTTCATATTTTGAAATCGTTGCATAACAACCACATCATCTATACTATTAAAAATGTTTTTTCTCAATTTATGCAACCAAGCAATCATTCATCTATGAATTAACCTAATTTTAAAACTTGTTAATATAATATTGAGTTTGAGAGAAAAACTCACAAACAATGAGAAAGTTTGCTTCCGCCAAGAAAATAGAAAATTGGATTAAAATTTCTTTGCTTTTTAGCAATCTGTGTACAAAGGTAATATGTGTGTTAGAAGGAAATATAATAATAATCATTTTATTAAAACTTTTGGGAATGGGTTTGCAAAAGAAGGCGTAGTCTTGGAGGAAACGTATGTTTGGCTGGGTAGGGTCCCACATGGTAAAATAAATATATTAATTAATATGGGTTATCCAATAACAGCATACTGCTTTTTTTTAAAAAAATTTATAATAAAAACTGAGTGGGGGCATGGGACTGCACTAGTCCTAACGTGGCTCCACCCTTAGTGGTTACTCATATCCTTCCCCATCTTCTTCCTTTAGTCTGTATGAAGTTAAAGGTCATGCACTTGTGTGGCTTTCTTGAAAAATCTCTTTGGATGTAGGTCCTTCCCAGGGTGATCAACATTTACATCTTAGCTCAAGATATGATTTAAAAGAGAATTTAAAAGAGAACTTTAAAAGAGTTACACATGAGAGTAAAAAATAACACGAAGAAATGGTGACTCACAAAAATTTTATAATTTATTATGAAAGCTTGGGTTCAAAACAAGTTTGAGAGGGGCACATGCCCCTCATGGGCCTCTACGTCCCTCCGCCCTAGAGGGGTGGATGATTAGAAAAGGCTTCATCAATCATCTTGAAAGTTTGTTTTTATGGCGCATATTAAAGGTTGTTTTTATTTCATTGTTTTTTGTGACATTTAATACATGTGATAAAAGAAACTTTTAAGATGCACGTAAAAAAAAATACAATTATAATAAAATTGGATAAAAAGCTTTTTATGCCATGCATAGTGTGTGTGATGAAAAAAAGTCTCTCACATGACCAGAAAAGCTGCACATACAAATAGGCTAGTAAATAATAAAATAGCAACTAAAAGACTAACCCACGGAAGGAGTTTGTGTGCTGATATAACTAACATATGATGTTCAACTCCTCTTTTTACTTTTTACTACTTTAAACTGTCCTTTTTTCAGTCTATGATTTGGTTTTGCTTATTTCTTGAGTTCAATCATTGGTTATAAATAAAAGTAATGATATCTTTTATGAGGTCCAAATATTCTTTACGGTTATAAAAGGTCTAAATTTTTTTGGAATTCTATATATGCACACATGCGAATAGAAACAAATATAGTATATTTTATTATTTTATTGAGTAATGCTTGGGTATTCTGCTCTTCGGGGAGACAAAAAACAAAGGGAGACTTATAAATAAACCCAAAATGGGTACAGTATTTATAAAGAAGGACAAAATTAAAGTGGTTGGACAATAATGCCCTTATTCATATATAAATTTCCTAGGGAATCCTTCTGCTTTTGCTAGCCGGATGAAACCAAAATGTTTCTTCTTTTCATATGTTGCTTTGTACTGGCCGTATGGAGCCAAATAGTTTGGCGACTATTCTGCTGGATGGATTCTTCACGTGGTCTTCATGCATCCATCATGTTATCTATGTTGTGTAGTTCTTCTTCTCCTAAGCTATTCCAGTATGAGTTGTCATTATCTTCTGCTGTAGTCTGTTCTGCTATCTGATTGTAGATTTCATCAAAAACTTTTGCTCATGTAGTGCTGATCCTGTATTCATATATATCATCTGGTCTCCTGGATGTGGATTCTGAATACACCTTGATAAATTTGGACTGGTACAGGAGGGTCAGACGATCATCATTAAATAATTGTTGCTCGGCTATTATTGCTCCTCTGTATTGTTGGATGTCTTGTTTGGTAGGCATTCCTGTTTGTGCTGATTCTTCCGGACTAAGTAATTCATCAAAAGAAATAATAATCCTATGTTGTGCTAAATCTGGGTAAATGCTATCTTTAAACCACTCTGGGGGTATACTAGTGAAATCTAATTTTACATTTTTCCAGAGAGGTAAATAAAAACTTATAATTTCTCTAAATTTTTCGGGGAATGAATCTAAATGCTTACTATTTTCAACATAAAGTTGATCTAGATAACCAAATTTTGCTAAAAATGCTGGAGTAACTATGATTGTTTTTGTTTATGCTCTAAATGCAATTCTCTATATTCAATCATGTTAATCCTTGCTAAGTAAATAGTGTAATGGGAACAGTTTTTGATAATAATGGTGATGCCAGGATGTGGATTACTTTTTAAATTGAAAAGAAAAGATTGAATGTACAGTTGAAGAGATGTGTTTTGCTCATATTCTAATTCAATTATGTGACTCTTAACATCTACTGGTAAAAACTTATACCTTTCTCTAGCTAGAGTTTGAAGAAAATAGGGATTTTTAGATTTTTGCTCAAGAGAAAATTCACTATTATGCTCAAGTAAGTTGGGCTTATTAGCCTCTTTTTCTTGTAAATTATGCTCAATTACGGTGGGCTTATTAGCCTCTTCTTGTAGAATTTGACATCTTAAATTAATAGTTCTAAAATGCCTAACTATTGTATCATATTCCCCTTTTTGCTCTGTATATTTTTCCTGCAAAAAAGAAAGGTGTTGTTTTGCTATTTTATAATCATAATTATATGCTAAAAACTCTTGCTCAAGTGCTCTAATAAGCTTTTCATGCCCTTTTCTCATGCTTTCAGTATTTGTTCTAATATTCCAAAAGTTATCTAAAAGAACTTTTTGTTTTTCTGCTAATGATGCTTGAGTACGATACTTTAAAGAAGGATTTCTAACTTCTTGTACTGATATTCCATTATAAAAATAAGTATTTACTACTGATCGTGCTTGATTACTTATGCTTAATGGATTACCACCAAGTGATGGTATACCATTATTTTTGCTGCCAAATGAGGATGGTCCAAAATACTGCATACCTGTTTAATGAATAATACGAGATAAGATATCTGCTAATGCATTATCCATACCTTTAATATGCTCAAATATTGGCCTAAATCCATTTCCTGTAATAGAATCAACAAAATTCACCCATCTTCGGGCTGCTTGTTTATTAGTAGTAATTTTATTATAATGAGAAACAATATTTTGACAATCTGTTCTAATAGTAAATATTTCATTATGTAAAAATAATGAAAATGCTTCAAGAGAATTAATGACTCCTAAAATTTCTAAGTCAGTGGCTGGAAGTCTAGCTTGTATATCATTAAATTTTCCTGATGCATATCTACAAATTTTTTCTTCTGATTTTGGTTCTTCTTTATGTTTCTTTTGATATAAAATTCCTGCCCATCCTATTGATGATGCATCCGTTTCAACTATTTTGTAATGATTATCTAATGGTAATGCTAACGGTTTAAGTTGAGTTATATCTTGTTTTATGCTTTGAACTAACTTAATATCTTCACTATTAAAATATTTCTGTCCTGTTTTACTAGTTTTGCTATGTAAAGCTGCAATTTTCCTTCCTAAATCAGGGATAAAACTTCTAGCATAATTTAATAAACCTAAGAATGCTTGTAATTGCTTTTTATCCTCTAACTTATCTGGAAATTCTAACACTTTTTTAGCTATATGTTCTTGTAATTGTATGGTTCCTGACTTAATATACATACCTAAGAATTCTATATCTTGTTTTTCAAGTTCTACTTTATTTCTACTTATAATAATACCATTATTAATAAATTCTTT